CGTTCGGCCATTCGCGTAAATCGGCCAATATTCTCGTATACTTGCGAACAACAGACGAACCGCCGAGTCGTGAGACCCCGGCTTTATCCGGTGACGGGATCGCTCGCGGTACTCGGACGGCTGCACTGCGCGCAAAAAGTCAACGGCATTGTGTGTCGCGCGCGTTGTTTCCCACGCGCAACACACCAGAACGACACTGCGTTCGCGGGCCGCAGTCATTATTCATGTCCCGCGCGTTCTAAAACCGCTCTCGGCGCTATAATAATAGTACGTATGCCGAAACTCTATAATAGTGTGACCTGCGTCCCGATATTATTACTTTGCGCGGTTGGTTTTGCACGGAAACCCGTGATGGTAATCGGCCATTATCTGCGTCGACCCCGAAACGTTTTCGCGCGGGGCTGAATTAAAGGACGGGAGGCGCCATGTAGTTCTTTAGCCCCGGGCCACGACGCGACGGGGTCCACAGTTTTTCGCTTGTTTTTTTTTTCTTTTCACGTTTTTTTCCTGTGATAGCAGCCACTGTTTGTAGATTATCCTAGGATAGTTTGTTTTTCTTGCGTGTCATATACATTAAGAAATGCGAATTTTCGTCCAGTAACGTTTTATTTAAACATTATCAACGTTTTCAAGCAACTTTCATCAATAAAATTTCGTTTTTATCAAAAATTATCCGAGATCAAGCGTCTAATTGGTTAAAAATGTAATATTTTGTCAAACATTTTAAAAGTGAAAAATTTAGTAAATTATTACTGTTTTATGGAAAAATTATTTTATAAAAATAATCATAAAATGATAAAAATAATGATGAAAATAGATTTTACATTTTTGAAAAATCGTTATTTTTTAGCCAATTTTAGACGGAATATTGCAAGCCAGACAAATTGTAAAACTTTGTACTAATTACAATTGTTTTTATCTTAAAATTTGTATTTATCAAATTTTGAAAAATAGGACTATTATTCGAATCCAGGATCAATAATATGTGTTGCTATTCAAAAAAGTAATTTCTATTGCGCAGACTCACACCGAAAGGGTTAACATTTTAAAATTCATCCATTCGTATCACAGTACTCTCTATCACTTTCCAAACAAGAAATTAAAATCCAAGGTTATCTGGCTGAAATATTTAGTGTTACCTATAAACATGAGCACACTGTATAGCATACTTTAGACTATAATCGTTATCTGGCCCTGTTTCAGTGGAAATATCAAAGTTACTACGCATTAAGATGTTTTACTTTCGTCATGCATACAAAAGGTTCAATAACATTCAGATTTTTAGACGAGTCTGAGTATAGCGAAAAAGCTATATTTGCCAGGGCTTCAAAACGTTATAGATTATAACGAAAAAAAAATTGACGAAATCAATAAATGAAAAATAAATTAAAAACGGAAAAAAATCGTTAACAATTAAAAAAAATTTGTCATTAATCATAATTAATGATTAACAATAAACAATAGACGTAACTGGAATATAAAAAAGTGAAAGGACTTACTTCGCACGATGGGTGAGCCACTGTTGTAGGTGAGAAGTTGGAAAGGTAGGAGAGAAATTTAATGTTTATCTGTACTCATCAATTAACCATTGCTAACAAAAAACGATTCTAAGCTAAATTCGGTTATACACGTTTTAAAAGGCTGTAATATTTACAATTTGACAATAATAAATGTTGTAAATTTTTTCGTTTTTTCCCATTTATTGGGAAAACTCCGGGAAAAGTTAAAAAATGATCTTATTAAAGTACCACTCTATTCAAATTTCCTTTCAGAAAAAGTGCTACACTTAAAATCTGAGCAAAATTTTGGGTAAAAAAGTTATTCACAAAAAACAAATATCACAATATTATGATTTCAAGACAAAGGTAAAAAATAATATTATGAAAAAAGAGAAAAATTTAAAAAAATAGAAGAGGGCAAACAAGAAAATTAAATGCTTAGTAAATATTGATGCATCAATGCATTTTTAGGTAGATTTTTTTAAAAGTATGATAAGGTTTTCTTTTTGAACTTGGTAATTTTTTTTTTTTTTTGCTTTTTAAGTATATTTGGAAGATAATATTGTTATCGCATTAAAACGAAAAAATAAAGTTGTTTTTAACGCTTTGATAAAAGTGAATTATAATGTGTGGTTTTTATGAATTTCTTACCAGAGGGCAAATTAGTTTTTATATCAAATTAACATAAAATCTATTAGTATAAACACTCTTACGTCTCTCAAGTATAATATTCATATAAGTACTTTAGTACTAAAATTATTTTTTTTTTTTGTTCTTAAGTCGCTCGTCGTAATGTATTTATACAAACTTCAAAAGAATTCCACCGGTAATTTTACCTTTACATCAACTCATATCTTATGCTTTTAATGCAGTATGATGGCTTAATGGCTAAATTAGCCGTAAAAAAAAAATAAAACAATTTTACTTTAAGACTCTAATAATATATATATATTAAGTATTTTTATAATACATCTTTATATCATATAAATTAATGCTAAGTACCTGTATATATATATTTATATATATTTCTTTAACGCTTTATAGTTTAAACTGTGTCGGAAAGTTAAAATGTTTCGACAAAGTTTTGAAAACTTTTTTAATTTGGTATACCTAGCTATTACGTACAACAATTTTATTTAAAAATAAAAGACGTTTGGTCGGAACTAAATCGTTTTACTTACCCAGTTTAACAAAATTATTTTCATTAACATTTTTCCGCGAATAATATTATTGTATTAATACAACTGGATGAGTGAATTTGACTCGATTCTTATAACCGTACAATTTCAGTTAATCGTAGTAAGTAAATAACTTAGAGCCATTCTCACCAACGCAAAAAAAGGCGTTTATCTGATTCTTAAAATGAGTTTATGGCTGATAACCGACCACGATTATCTTATAAACTCCGTTTAAAAATCAACGTTTACGTTGGTGAGAACGGGCCTTAATCGTAAATGCAAAACTCCTATTTCAAGTACAGCTATTGTTGTCTAAATTCAACTGTAGTTAGTGATGATGTCATTTATCGTCAATGAGTACCCTCATAATATTTGTTTGCATCGTATATGTTTTATCGTTTAAAACGTTCGTTTATGCTTCATCGTTAACGGAAAGAGTACACTTATGCAAATGCACGGTACGTTAAAGTACATACAACAATAAATTACCTATGTACTGTCCGGATATAACAGAGATAGCTCCCTTATTTTGGTATAATAAACTGCCACCAGAGTGTAGACCCTTCTAATTCAGATCCCAATAATATTATTTAGTTTCCATAATATAGTATTTATAATATTTATAATATTTTTTATTTCTCATTTCTCAATTAAATTTAATACTTTTATATATAATGAGTGTTGAAAATTAAATGAATATTTTAACCCTGTATATTTATATTTGTTTAGCTTTTGTACATAGTTTTGATTTTGCTTTATAATTATTTCCTTGCTTTTCTATGGTTATTAGATTAAAAACTTCAAATGGGGCAATCACGTTTGACTGGTTTGACACTTATGAATATTCATAATAATATTTCATTAGATACTAATAACATAACAATTAATCGCTTTACCAAATCAAAATACAAAGTCGATTTAATTCTTTAATTAATTAAATTATATAATTTAGATTCAATTAGTTTTTTTAACTCTAAATGTGATGTAAATGAGTACCTATAATTTGCGAATTGTTTTTTCTCACTTTATTACCTAATTACTTCTATTATTAATTTATTTGTAAATACTATGACTATGTTAATAATTAACTCTGTTTTTTTCCTAAAAGCCGAATTTTTAAAAAATTTGATTTCACTGTTTTTTGAATTTATAACCATGTCTATGATGTCATATATTACATTACACACCCCGAGTGAAACCAGGTAAACTACCTAGTAATTAGTGTGTTTATGTACATATATGTATAAAGTATAAAGTTCGCTCCCACCCCTCTATAAAAGGGTCTAGGGACGCCACTGCCTAAAAAATATACATTAAAAATACATCACATAAAAAATTTAACACCCTCATGATCGACGGTCATTCAATTAAAAGGCATCGAGTTACATTTCCTCAATTAATTCCAAAATTAAGTTACATTTCATTTGCATTTTAAGGAACTTAGTTTTTTTTTTATATGACGTACATCAGTTTCCCAATTGGTGGAAATCAATATCAAATTAAACCGTCTATAATAAATTACATTAAATATATATATGGACAAGGCGTTTTTTTAATAAAAAACTCTTAAAAAAAGTTCAATTTCCTGTTAATTTCCGAAAACCCGACTAATACTTAAGAATGCAAATAAAATATAATTTCATTTTCACGTCCTTGTAATAGTATAAAAAAAATTGAATTTAAAAACCCGTCAATAATCGATTAGTAGTACATTATTATTTTAATTAAACTACCGCCCTGTATATTCTTATATAGATATTATATTGTATTAAAAGCATGGGCTTTTTAATAATTTATATTAGCACAATATTTAAAAGGAAAGAGGATTAATCTGTATATCTGTAATCTGTATTTACGTAAAATATTTTATTTTAGTGGCTTTATACAAAATGAAAAACCACATACACAGTGATAATATTTATTACAATAAATTATTACTTGCTGAGAATCGTATTTTTTCTGGAACATAATATAATTTGTTGGTATTGTGGTACTTTGGAAATTCTCAGTTTATGCCCCTAAATCGAATAATATTTTATTGAAAACGTATTTTGTAGGATGTCCCAAAATTTGTTTGTGGGCTATTATGGGAATGAAATTGATAGTATATACTCGAGAGCCAATAGATAATTGGAATGTGGCCAACTCGTCGAACATTTTCTATTGGTTGACTGTTAACATTGATTATGAAAGCCAACTATCGTTAAAATATATTTCATATGCCCATAAATTATTGTCCAGTTTCAAATTTAAAACGTGTAAATATTTAATCAGGTCGCTTTACTATAATCTATAGGCTCTATAGTCTGTAGTGCATTATACAATTTAAGTATAAGATGAAGTATAATAACAACAAAAATGTCAAGGAGGCATTTAAAAAAATACAAACTATATTTATTTATTACGATAAATTTATTTTTAAGAATTTAATATATTATATGTACACAAAAATAATAATAAATAACTCCGCTGTTTACTGTTATAAATACAAAATAATAATACAAGCATAACATAATAAAATTCGTACAACACGGGTATTATATGACAAACATATCAATATTAGTGAACAAATCAATGTTAATAGTGAACAATTTATAATGACTCGCTACAAAAGTCGAAGATAAGAAAACAAAAATATGCTTATTAATAAAAAAATTAAATAACGACTTATCGATCAAATTTAATCAGATTTGTGGTCAAACTATCGGTAAAATAAAAATCCTCACCATAGTAGCTGTATTTATGGTATCATATTTTAATTACCACGTGTCTCGACGTTATTAATATAACTAATAATAAAAAACCAAACAATTGGGAATAACAATCAGAGGATAAGTATATAATCTGTAGGATGATTTAAGATTCCGCAAATATACCTAATCTATACCTTATATTAAAGGTGTTACCACGATAGAATCTAATTTAAGGGGTGTGATGATCAACTCCAAAATTGTCTTCAATATTATTAAATTTGAAAAAGACTTTTCCACTAATCTACTGTTTTAAGGAAAGGGATACGATCGTTTTGACGTTTAGACCCTTAGACTGAAAAACCCGACAAAAACAGTAGGAATGATTTTTGAAGGATTTTAATTTGGAAAACGTATTATAATTTTTTGAGTTCTTTAATAGGATACGATGGAATTATTTTCAATTATCTTCATCATAAGTAATAGAAAAAATACCTCAAGTATATTATTGAAAAATTTCCAAAAATATAATGAATTGATTTACGATTTACAATAAAATCATTACATTTTTATTTCTAATATATCCTAGGTAGTAAATAAATTAAAAAATCATTATATATCCTTTTCAAAATTGAAAACACAATTTCTACATGTTTTCTCTGGCTTTTAGATGTAAACCGACTTAAATATAGTCCATCACCAATCTTTTGTAAATATTGTTTGTTTTTAAGGGTTAAAAATAGGAAAAACGGTTAACGACCGATGACGTAGTAATAGTAGAACGTGTTTTTTTCACCCTTGCGTTAACGACATGACCACGTGTCCCTTGTCCATTTCGGCATCTGGTGACTCTATGATGCGGCAGACATTGTCATCGGCAGCGGTTTCGGCCGGATATATTCCTTTGGTCTGAGCTTGTATCTCTCCCCACGCGAACTCCACGTCCGATTCTTCCGTCAACCGGCTGCACACAACAAAACGTATGACCAGCTGGGACCGGACAGTGGCGGTGACCAGATATATCTGACCGCTGCTCATTAGCCGTTCGTAGAGTTTTTTCGTCCAGACGTCGTCACCCTACAAAATATCCGAAAACAACGATTATCAGATAACTTATATTGTTATTGTTTTGTCCAAACTTTAGAAAACTGAAGTAAAACCGTAAACAACGGATAGTAAATGAATTATAAAGGTTAGGGCGTTTCCAAAATTTAGCGATTTTCAATCAAATGATAATACACATTTCAAAACTCAACAATTTGTTGATATTTTACTGAAGAATTTTATTGATTTCCATCGGTCAGTTTTACTGATTTTTCTGTTTGATATTTATCACCAGATCTTACTTTCTGTTGTTTAAATTTATGCTAGGGGTAAGGCGGCTATAATAAGATTTGATAAAATGAGAAAAATGTTGCAATAATTTCTTAAGTCCTAAGAATGGAAAGGGCTTAAGTAAATTTTGGTGTTATTTCATAACAAATTTATGAAATTTGGAAGGTAAGATTAGTTAGGTACTTACATATTTAATAATCATTTTCTAATCTCTGCGAATAACAATGCATCTAAACAAAACTTTTCAAAACATCTAAACTTTTTCGTCTATGTAAATAATATGCATATTTATTTTATTCCAATGTCAAACAAAAAAATAAGAGAGCTCGATTAACATGGTGCTTATTTTATTTTAATAATAGATTAATACTTTAAACTGACCTTTAGACGGAAACAGACCAATCCCATTGTCACCGGCATGACGATCTCGAATCTCGCATCCTGTTCGACGAATTTTCCGAACAACTCTGCCAGGTACACTTGTTTTTTAATATGCGCTTGTAAGCCCTCCACGCCATATAATCTCAACACAAACCACATTTTCAATGCCCTAAACCTTCGACCCAAAGGTATCTGCCAGTGCTGTAATAAACGAACACGGTATGATTATAAAAAAAAAACGTCCTAGGATAATAGGAACGGATGCAGCCACTGTTATAGGTAATTTAATGTATACCTTATAGTCACCCACGTTGTATGCAACGATATAAACTATTGCTTACGAAAAATCGATTCTGAGTGGAGTTCAGCTGATGATGATGCTTTGTCAACAAAATGTATGCCATATTACAGTAAAATAAATAAATAGGCTCTATATATTTTCTTTAATAATATGTGTTTAATGTTGTACCAATTTTCCCGGTTTTCCCAGTTTTCACATTTGCTAAGAAAACTCCGAGGAAAACTGCAATACGACCTCTCTAAAGTACCTTAAGTTCTTTTCAGAAGAGTTGCTACACGTAAAAATCGGAACAAGTTCTTTGGTAAAAAAGTTGTCCACAAAAAAAAAAAAAATTACAATAAACATCTTTGTAAAACCAAAAGCTTCTTCATTCCACTCAGAATCTAAAATAATAAAAATCCCATCGCCGTACTAATATATGATAACTGTTCCACCCAGATAGTCGGTATTCTGCAATAATGTAAACCGTGTTATCTCGGCCATTATCTTTTGTTGATAACCGAATGCCAGATAAATAACATTACAATTTGTGTGAAAATGGAAAAACTTACTGCGTAAAAACGTATACGAGTACATAACGATACATATGCATTCAAGTACAACAATAGTGGGACACAAACGAGTTAGAAAGTAAGTTAGAAATTAGGGTTCGTAAAACAATACAAAACTTTTGACTAGTTTAACAATTATTACTTAACTTATGACACTTATGTATTAACTGGATAATTTGAAAAGTCAAACTATTTTCTAATGTAACGGCATTAAATGAAATACTATTCGTCAATGTTATTTNAAATTTCACCGAGCCAATGTTCGTTATTTATTGAGTTACCCTGTAATCCGGTAGTTGAGGATCCTCACTCTGGTAGCTGTGTTTCAAGTATATCCGGTCCACGTTAAACGCATCCACCAGATGAGTGGCGTTCTTTACCCACATCGCGGAACAGTCAAAGTTCACCAAAAGCCATTTGTGCAAGTTCACGTCGAACGAGTCTGCGTACTTTACCCCAGCCATATGGTGCCTGTATTCTGGCAGGACAAAGGCAGCACCTAAAAGAATACCATCAGCAACCGATTATTATTTTTGGTCTGGGAAAGAAAAGTTTAATTTATTAATTGTTAATCAAAATTGAATTTATTTGTAGTGAAAACTACATATAATTTGCTTAAGTTCTTTTTAGGACCGATTTATTTTATATTGTTTGTTCGTATCTATACCTTTATGTTAATAAAAGTATGCATCAGTACCTGCGTAAGCTGCATCGATGTGCAACCAAATATTGTTCTCGTTACAAATCGGACCCAATTCTTCCAAACGGTCAAACGCACAAGTACCTGTAGTTCCCAAAGTAGCTACCACGTAACAAGGAATCAATCCTTTGGCAACGTCTTCGGCTATTGCTTTGGCCAATATTGAACCTGTCATTTGGCCATTATTATCCACGTTGAGCAGTCGCATGGGCATAGAACCTAATAGACCAGCTTTTTCAACGCTCGAGTTCGATTGATCTAGCGACCAGAATTTAAAATAAACACCGTTTTAGTACACTCCTTTAACATTGAGCTTCGGGGATATACATGTGCAATATAATAAACGACATACTCGATGTGTAGGCCACGAGCTTTGATTTTATCATTCCTTCGTCCATGTTTGGGTTGAGCATTTTTATCCGTTTAACCGTACGGTCTTTTGCAGCCAACAAACACACGAGCGTGGCTTCGCTAGCACTTCCCTAAGAAAACAAGGCGAATCGTATTATTAAAACAACACGCACCAATGTCAATGTCTACACATCACTATTATTATTATCCCTTGTTCTGTCAACTCGAGTTTCGGTACACAAATGGTGATTTCGATTTTAACGCTAAACATTTGGTGATCATAATTTAACATGTCGTATGCTTTTTACATTATAAAAATATTATTGTTAAATAAGAGTTTCTCTGTTGCAGTATATTAATATTATGTATATCGAGTCGTAATGCAAACTGTAAGCAGGTACTCATCTGTCAGCTATTTTTTGTGCTTATTCGAATAAGTCTGATAGGATTATAATTTGTCAATATATTTTACCACTCCGGCATAAATAAAGGGTACATAGATACATGGACATAGTTCATCTGGAATACGTACCTGTACAATATTTAGATTATTAGTGAAAAAATTAACAAGTAGATATACATACATATTAAATTGTATAGTTAGGTTCAACACTTGCCCGGGATAACCAAATTAAATAATAATAAAAGTTTTATTCTATTCACGTTTCAAAAAATCACAGAAATAAAAAAAAATTCTATTTTCAAATCATTATAAGAACAAAAATTGAATGATGTCGATCAATCTGTTCAGGGACGGCGAAAGGGTAGAGATAACTGAATATTAGTATAAAGTCTCTGATAAACCTTGTGAATCCCCAAACAGAACAATATTTTTGATTTTGGCCACTAAAGAACTAAGAATTTGATTCTAAATAAGAATTTAGACGTGTTTGATTTTCCACGTACCAATTAATCTAATAAAGCGATACGAATTTTGAAAGTAGATATTTTGAGTTTATCTAATCGAGATTGACTTTTCTAAAAATTGGAATACATAATATTATTAGGCTGTACGTAAAATAAGATTCAAAAAGTAAAATAATATTCAAGCATAAGTAGCAATAAATCTTGCCCGAGAATTTTAGATCATAACGTTGCTAAATATTATAGAAATTCGTTATAACTATGCAAGTTTGTCTATTTATTTCCTCACCTTATATATTATAATAATCGGCAACATTTTAATATACTTCATGAACGAATCCAAACGTCTGCAGTATGTCAGAATGACCTTACTTATGGGTTTTAAAAGTAAAACCAATTTCTTGGCTGGCCTACGGTAAAGCTTAAAGGCCAAGTGACGTGAGTAGATCAGTGATGTATTGCATCGAAGTCGAGATACGTCAAACATGATCCTTCCCCCGGACAACATTTAAGCTCAATACGGTTATTGTAAAAATAAAATATTATCCAAATAATACATTAAAAAAATATTTAATTACAATTTACGATTAAATTAATCAAATATAATTTTGAATAAATCAGTTATCGTGTTTGATTGTCCTTCGCTTTTAGTTCCCAACATAATGACCTGTACAGATTGTACTTTCAAATCATAAAGGTATTTATTGTATCAAATGCCATTTCGCATTGATTAAATTCAAATAGATACACAAGAAAGTATTTAACAATATTTAATATTATGTATAGTAATTTAAATAAAACAATACAATATCTAGGTACTCGGTTTTAATAAATATGAAACATCTACCTGTAATATGCCACCACCTGGCCCTTCAGACTCATTTAAGAACTCTTTTGGCAAATCCAAAATTTTCCCAAACCAATTCATTACTTGCACTTCTAGTTCGGTACATGCTGGACTTGTTATCTAAAATAAGGAAAATAATACATTTTATATATACATATAAAAAAAATGCATATTTGATAATATTAAACCTTGAGATTAAAAACAATTAAAACTGGTTTCTTTTCTCGTGACCGACACACTATAGGTATTTAGGTACAATTATTTGGGAGTGTATGAAAAACCGTCTACGTGATGTATACCAGGCAACGTTTTTTAGCGGCTAATTTTGTCAAACACATGCATCATACTAATTTTTACATTTTTTTGTTTTCTCTTGATAAAGACTCATTATAGTAGGTAGATAATTAGTATATGAAAAAATATGTATTTTTATTAAAAAAATTAAATGTTACATTCGAATGTAAATTCATAAAAAAAAAATTGACAGATAACAGTAATATATTCGTTACTTATGTAAATTAGTACAGATGCTTTTTTTTCAATTGGTTTATCATGAAATTCGATATTTTTGAATAGATGAATAGAATAATATTATGAGTTTTAAAAACTACTAAACTGAAATATAATTATATTGTAATACACATTACGTAATAAATTATATAATATTAACAGGTATTAACTCGTATTAACGGTATATTCAAATTTTAAAAATTATTTTACCAGATTGTAAAAAACCTTGAGATCAATTAAATACATTTCCAATTCAAATAATTTCCATTAAATACAAATATTTAATCCCTATTTTCACAACTCTTAAATGATTCCCTTAATTGATCCTTTTTGTTCTAATATTAAAATTAAATAATTAACATTATAAAAACATAATTAACATAATGTAATAAAATATAACACTACAAATATGACAGAATGATCCATTTATCACGGACCAACAAAATTCTCGGAGGATTTAAATTTTAAAATTAATTTTCTTTCAGTCATTCCATAATGACTGATGAAATCGCTTAAGCTTTATTTTATCACTTTTCAATTTTTACCTATCTATTACCTACCCCATGTACAATAATTGTGTACATACTTTCAATTTCGAAGTATAGACTTGAACACATAATATTTTTCTAAAAATTTTGATCAGCATAACACAAATATCGGATTTATCGTTTATAAGTTATAACAGTTTAAAATTTAGACAGGAGAAAAGGATAATGTTAATAAACCTTATATTAATTTTTAGATGATAAATTGATAAAACGATTGATTGGAGTGTGCACTTGTTTCAGGTATAATAAGTAAGGTTAAAAATTTAAAATAATATTCTAATAAAGTCTAAACAAATCCATTATAGTAAAAAAAAAAAAAACAGATCAAATTCACTTACAATGGTTAATTCGTGATAAATTTATCAATGTAGTGTTACTTTTTATAAATAAAAAATTTGAATGTAATTCGATTGCACAGAATCTCAATGAAAAAAAAAAATTAAACATTTAAGCCTGAGTGCCACTGTGGACGTATCTATTAACAACTAGTTCAACGATTATGGTTATAATTTAAAAAGATGTTTGAGTACACATCTTACCCTTACCACCACCCTAATTGACTCCCTATAAGTTTAAATAGAGTCATAAAATAATTAGCTCATTAACTGAATTACGTATTGTAGTTTATAACCTATAAGTTATATTGTTACAATTATAAACCTAGACAAAATTGTATTCATATTAAATGTTTTATTGTGATCCTGCCTCCTGTACCTTACACTCCATAGGTATGTACAACATTATATACAAACATACCCACGAAAACCCGATGCATCCGATCCCGTTGGACAACATGTCACCGACGATTGACGGGAACGAGTTTCCGGTGGGGAAATAGGCATGGAACTGTGGCGAATTCCAATGGGTAATACCCGGCATGATGATCTTTTCCACGTCGGCCAGCACCGTCTTCCAGTCTTCTCCTTTCACGGGCGCTTCGGGTGGCACCAATTCGTACAGATAACCCGGTTTCATGGTGGATAGAACTGGTCTGAAACAATATTATTGTGTCGTTTGGTTTATTTTTTCAAATTTAATTTGTTCGACGACGCGAAAATGTAAACAGCGTGATCGCTTCTAAATCTTCCAACCTGTCTCGGATGTTGTCCACATAGCTGGCAATGTAGTCGACTACCGTTTTCCCGCATTCTCTAAAAGATTCGGAATCCATTTTGCTCTTCGTTCTCGGTTCTCTCCGACGAAAAAATTAAATGTGTCCTACAACATGAACATAAACTATGTACCTAATTTGTATAATAATACGAGTATACAAATAATATTAATATCAATAATAGTGATAAATTATTCTGTTCGTATAAAACCCATTCGATCTCCTAGTGTCGTAGTCCCAAATTCATCACAAACATTTTAACCAATATGATATCCTTAAAAATAGCTATTCAATGATTTTCAATATTGTCATATTATTATAAATGGAGTTTCCTTAAAAAAAAAATATACATATATAATACAAGCTATTGGGCGCCGAACAAAACTAATGACGGTCGTACCTAATTATATTTATGAAAAACGCGTCTACTCTTTTTGAGACTACAAATCGTCTATGTATAGTATTCGTGTAAAAAAAAAATGTGTTCAAGGATCTTCGTAACAACGGCATATTAATGATCAAAGACTATTATTAAAATTTTGACACACTGCAGTTTTATATTGTAGTCATTATCGAATCCTAAAACAGACCAACTTTTAACAATTGTATATACTTTTCACGGGCTACAGCCAAGTTCAAGTAGGTTCAGAGTAGATTCAAAGTCATGTTAAGGACGTTACTTTTTTACCCGAAAAAAGTCAAATAATAGGTATATCCGGATCGCAATGATGCTAAATAATTAAAATCAAGGCTTATAACGAATTTAAAAACGAAGGTCTAAAATACGGAATACCGCGTGATGGCACAACGTATATTTAATTATAAATTATAATTCCACTGAGAGTTAAGATTTAATGGATTCAACTCGTTTAGCGTTGTTGGTGTGACGTCGGTGTAGATATAATTGTTGTAATAACCAGTGGTGTTTCGGGGGGAGGGGTATACGGGGGTATACGGCGTATACTCAATACGCTATTTTTATCCATGGCGTAGAGCTTATGACAAATTGATGATACTCGAGTATACGACGTATCTACCGTATATCCTACATGGCAATTATAAATACCTATTATGTATTTATATAAATATTATCGTAAAATACATTTTGATGAGCATGAATTGTAATACAAGACGTAACACATAACACGCGAAGATTTATTTTTTTTTTTTTACGAAAAATCGTTATCATTTAAAAATTAAGGTTTTGTTATCGGTCTTGTTATCAAGCATTCATAATCAAATTAACCATTAAAAAAAAAAAAAACGAATTTTAATTTACGACCGTTATAAACATATACCCACCACTAACAATATCCTTTCCCGGACCTTTCACGGTTAAATTATTCCTTTTGCACCGTGACCACTAATTAATAGATTTCGTAGGAATAAGACAAAATATGTTTACGATGTTAACACCATCGGGTTATAAATCCGGACCGACGGACATAGTCCGATTTATTACTTTTACTGTACAATACGTACAGCGTACAAAAAAAAAAACGAATTTGATTGAGCCGAACAGTTTGTCTTCATAAACTCAATAAAATTATACTCGTCTAATATGCTAGTCACCGGGTGCACAGTTAAAATGATTTGCACCATTAATTATTGTAAATATAATATGTGACATTTACATGTATGGTTTTAGGTTCTGAATAAAGCAACGATTGGTTTTACTACAATAATGTGTTTTTTTATTTATTTAATTTTCTTTTTATGTATCTATAAACTTTTCTACCAGAAATCTCGTCCTAATCAAAAATTGTGCAGGAACTTTCTTGTAGCATTTTTCATCTAATTGGTACATTGAATTAGACACTTTTCGATTATTCTTGTAGTTTTCTCAATAAATAAGAACAACTAGAAATTGTTTATATAATTTTTGTTGATTTCTGGGTTAATTTAACAAGGTCAAAAACACGACTTATATTACTCAACTCAGAATTCTTTTATTTTTTTAGCAATGATTTATCATTACGTACAAATATACGAATATAACAGTGTTAGGTACATTGTGAACAAATCTATGTGTATGATCGGCATAAATACGTAAGTCACAAATACAATATAAATGCTGTATAGTTTGACAAGGCATGTATACAGAACAGGTATGGATTCTACCCGCCTCTAATTTTTTTAATAAAACAATTCATCGTAAACTAGTTTTAAATTAAAATTTTTTTTTTTATTATTCATGAAAGATCTTCGAACTCCCCTGGGTATAGATAAGATTAAATAAACAATCAAACGTGCGGTACAGATACTATAGATAGTATTTTTAGTATGTATCCGGACATTACTATACGAGTAAACTACGTTAATCAACGCTAAGTCGGGGTCTTTACACATGGTAACTGCGGAAGTCCGGACGCGTCCGTGTACCTATTATCGGCGTCCGGACGCCTATAATAGGTACACTACGCCGCCGGCCGTTAGTTAAAACTTTCCGATGGACGATTAATCGACCTCGTTAACCGGGGTTACCGGTAGGCACTGCGTTTTTATCGCGCAAACTTTGCCCTTTTTTTCTCACCCCAATATATAAGCGCACATCGTTACCATATAATTACATCCACCGGCCGGAAACGGACGCCGGGCCTCCGGACGCGCCTTATCTCCAACCCCTCCAAAATACATTCGGCCCCGTTCCATCCCCACCGGGGTCTGTCACGTCGTAAAAAACCTATTGGGTCATCGACCGATCAAGTCTGTCGTCGACAGTCGGGTCAACATCCACCGCGGTTGGCAGTTCCCGAGGTTCTTATTATACAAAATCACGGCCAGACGGAAATACGGGTAAAACCATTATGACGTGTATACCGTAGTCGATCTATAACGCGAACAATATGCGTATACAGAGTGACACGGGCGCGTATATTATTATTATCATAACGCCGTCACATCGTGTCCGTCGTCGATTCGACATTTTACTTTTTTCATGTAACCACACACAATGTAATATATTGTTATAATAATATTATACTGTGAATTTGCGGTCCAACGTCACGAGCAGAACGCGATCTAGAAACCGTTAAACGAAAAACTCGTCGACTATCTCTCAGTTGCCTCCGGGACCCGTCACATCGTTTTCACCCTGTGCATCGTCAACCGTCCGTTTTGTGAATAATAATGAAATATATTGACGCACGCCACGAACAAAACCAATTTTCACGAAATATGCCTAAATTAAATTAAAATACGTGATCCGCTTTATATAGTTATTATTTTAAAAATTTCAAATCATCATGTCTATTCAGGGCCGAAAATAGGGGGATGTTGAAACTCTTCCAATTTCAAAATTTAGACTGGTAAAATGCAACGATAATTTAATTCTGAAGTCTGCAAACCTAATAATTTCTTAATTATTATTATTATTATTATTATTTTTTTTTTTTTGTTATTACATGATTATCGTCAAATTTATTAAATATTGAAGGACAAAATATTAGGTAAAAACTTAATTTTGAAGTCACAAACCTTCTGCAAATTGTTTATTGCACTCCTTCAACGTTTTTTTCTTTTTTAATTTAGGACATCATCAACCGCCAAAAAAAAAAAATGTTTTTTCGGAAAAATAAAAAAATTACATTGATATAACATTATTGTAATCTAAACTGAACCGGTGAAACTATTATGAATTATATGAATATGCCTGTAGGTGATTTGTCAAGAAAAAAAATGATAAATTACATTGATGGTCTCCGACTATACAGTAAATGAACTGCAGCTAAAATGAATAAGTCACACATGTTACTATGAATATTTATTAACCAATAAAGTAGTGCGACGAGTCTAAAACGCCATACTTTGAAATAACCAATCGATTTTTATTATTATAGTTGTTTAAAACCCAAACAGCCACTATCTTTGACATTCGAAAATAGTAATAATAACGATATTATGTTACCTTTCAATCACGTTTCGTGTTCTATGATGAAATTTTTCGGCGGTACTATCGGTATTCGGGTGATTGTAAACGTGAGTACGAATTAAGTGTACAATTATAATAGTAATATATTTAGTAGAACAAAATGTAATTGTCGATAAATTTGTTTAAGGGTTTTTGGCGAAAACACGCGCTGTTCGATACTAAAGTGTGAATGAAACACGCTGTAATTTATAGGTGTTACGATATTCTTCTGATCACATTTCCTATAAGTCGTACGTCTCGTTTTTTTTAATCTCTCTCTCTTCGCGCACAAACACATTCTTAACCCCGCCCGGCCAGTTTGACGTGCTTGCCGTGATTTAAATTCATTATTCTTAGTTTTAATCTTTTATTAGGTTTATTAGGTTAATATAAGCAAACAATATATCGAACGTTGAAAATAAAGGCAACCGTATTAAATCGTTATTTTATTGTCTTTTAAGTCGAAGGTCAATCCTATTCACAGCAAATTCAATAGGGATAGCGCAAGTTTCTATAAATATTACCTGTTAAATATTTACGAAGAAAAAAAATACTTTTGAATATAATGACATATGAACAGACATGACCCAAAAAAAAATATTAATATTAATAAAAGTAAAAAAAAACGCTAATTTTATCGAAATTGTATGACGACATCGTAAACAAAACAATGAATTTGTATTCGCCAATTATATTAAATTAAACAACAATGAATAATCATACTGCTCGACTGCTCAACGTGGATAATAATGGCCAAATGACAGGTTCAATATTGGCCAAAGCAATAGCCGAAGACGTTGCCAAAGGATTGATTCCTTGTTACGTGGTAGCTACTTTGGGAACTACAGGTACTTGTGCGTTTGACCGTTTGGAAGAATTGGGTCCGATTTGTAACGAGAACAATATTTGGTTGCACATCGATGCAGCTTACGCAGGTACTGATGCATACTTTTATTAACATAAAGGTATAGATACGAACAAACAATATATAATAAATCGGTCCTAAAAAGAACTTAAGCAAATTATATGTAGTTTTCACTACAAATAAATTCAATTTTGATTAACAATTAATAAATTAAACTTTTCTTTCCCAGACAAAAAATGTATATAAACAAAATAATAATCGGTCGCTGATGGTATTCTTTTAGGTGCTGCCTTTGTCCTGCCAGAATACAGGCACCATATGGCTGGGGTAAAGTACGCAGACTCGTTCGACGTGAACTTGCACAAATGGCTTTTGGTGAACTTTGACTGTTCCGCGATGTGGGTAAAGAACGCCACTCATCTGGTGGATGCGTTTAACGTGGACCGGATATACTTGAAACACAGCTACCAGAGTGAGGATCCTCAACTACCGGATTACAGGGTAACTCAATAAATAACGAACATTGGCTCGGTGAAATTTAGACTGTAGTATAAATGTTCATTAGTTAAAATACCTGCAGAGTTTATTTTTTGTAATTTTTGGAAATAACATTGACGAATAGTATTTCATTTAATGCCGTTACATTAGAAAATAGTTTGACTTTTCAAATTATCCAGTTAATACATAAGTGTCATAAGTTAAGTAATAATTGTTAAACTAGTCAAAAGTTTTGTATTGTTTTACGAACCCTAATTTCTAACTTACTTTCTAACTCGTTTGTGTCCCACTATTGTTGTACTTGAATGCATATGTATCGTTATGTACTCGTATACGTTTTTACGCAGTAAGTTTTTCCATTTTCACACAAATTGTAATGTTATTTATCTGGCATTCGGTTATCAACAAAAGATAATGGCCGAGATAACACGGTTTACATTATTGCAGAATACCGACTATCTGGGTGGAACAGTTATCATATATTAGTACGGCGATGGGATTTTTATTATTTTAGATTCTGAGTGGAATGAAGAAGTTTTTGGTTTTACAAAGATGTTTATTGTAATTTTTTTTTTTTTTGTGGACAACTTTTTTACCAAAGAACTTGTTCCGATTTTTACGTGTAGCAACTCTTCTGAAAAGAACTTAAGGTACTTTAGAGAGGTCGTATTGCCGTTTTCCTCGGAGTTTTCTTAGCAAATGTGAAAAACTGGGAAAACCGGGAAAATTGGTACAACATTAAACACATATTATTAAAGAAAATATATAGAGCATATAAACACTGTTGTGAGCGGGAAGTTGCAGGGAATGTAAAATATTTTAAATTATTAAATTTAACTTAAAAATCGCCAAAATATCGCTGTGCTCAGAACCTAAAAATATGAGGAACTTTAATTTTATGTTTTTATACGGTAGCATTTTTATTTTGATTTAGGTGTGTATCACTTGCTGAATTTCAAGATATAGGTATCACAACGTACAGCAATTTCATTCTTACCACGATGGAATTCTGTTCTTATGTGTCAACTATATTTTATAATTTAATATATTTTGTCAATATTAAGCAGAAATTCCGCAAGTGTGAACAGGTGCGTCTTCAGGTTAGTCCCAATAATAGATAAAAGAAAATACAATTTTGATTGTATAAGGTTGCCATAGATGGATATTGTGAAATTAAGGTGCTTAAATTTGTACTTTATATTATAAGCCAATCTTAAAGCTTTCGGAGTCGGTTTTCCAAATTTTCTCCAATTTTGTAAAATTTAAATATTACTTGGAGCATTATAATTACCATCTTGAAGATAAAACTTTCCATAATCTAATACATGATACCCATTAAGAGAAATGAGTTATCCGCCTTTTACAGGCGAAAATGACTTTGAAGGAAAAACATTCATGCCTCGTAAAACAGTCCAATTTCGATTTATTTCTCATTAATTTAGATTCTGAATTTGCCGAGGAATATATTGGTTTTAACAAGATTTATACTTTTTTTGTTACATTTGATTCAGTATCAAATAAATCAGACATTATCAAATGTATTTATCTTCAGTACTTTTAGAAAAAAATGTGATCATTTTTTTTTTTATTTTTCATTAAATTTGGAAGTAGTATAATACAATATAATTTTTAATGAGAGATAATAAATAATAAACTCATAAATGAACAAATGGATATTTAATGACGCAAGGGTTATAATTTATAATACATAAACATTGGTAAAAACCCGAATAGAATGCGTGTAATGCATTACGCGGATAACAGAAAAAGTTCTCCGTGTGGAAGCTACACACTTAAGTATTACCACAAGCTGGCACTTAAAACAATCTAAATACGGTAGCCGAATATTTTGAAAAACTGAAGAGTTTGTCGACCATTTAGCGATAGTATTGATGGAAAGTTGTCGGTGTGAACGTTTGTATTGAACATAACGAAACGTTAGTTGCTCAAAACTCGATCCCCGCCAACTTCATCGTCACCCACGTTAAAAGGCTCTAATAAGTAATAATTAAGAAGCGGAATTTAATACAAATTGCGTTTTTTTTTTTTTTTTTTTGAATGTGCTAAAGCAATGCTTTCCAAGCACAAAATTCGTTTCATATATCAAAGAATTAAAATATGAAACTATTATTTTGCATTTTTTACATTTTTAATTTTAGATTATTTCTTATTGTTAGATTATTTTTGACAGAATTTGATAAAATTTATTTTGATTTCCTTCGAGAAGAAAAAAAATCATATTTCTATTTTTTTTAATTTATTAGGTATAGATTTGCCTATTGTACCAAATAAATACGATGCCGGCTGCAATAAAGAAAACGATAAGCTATTTATCGAGTTGTATTGTAGTCGTATTGCATCATTTGCACTGTTATGTTTAGTAAGTTTATGTAACTAATAAAACATTTTTTTTTCAACGTTTAAAGTGATTTTTAGAGCATTTTTTTATTTTTTATTTAAGTGTATTTTTCTTGTTTCCTAATGCATTTAAATCCGCACCCTAGTAATAACATATAGCTAATAGGTAGTAATATTTTATTTTCGCATAGTACGGATAAAACAATAATAATGAAATAAATATATTATTTGTATAGATATTGAAATTCATAAAAAACTACCGAGTTTAAACATATTAGTTAACAAGATCAAAAGCTATATACGCTTAGGCTGTGATCGCTTTAATGAAATTGGCGGGTATGAATATAAATAAAAATGCAAATTGCATAATACATAATATTATACCATACTAATAATATACACATTGCACGTGTGCACAGTGCTATTACGTCTAGTTCACCTAACTGCATGAACAAGAACAATGTTAATGACGTAGTGAGTATAATATTGCCGTCTCAAACGATTTTAATTAATGCAAAGAAAATAAATACGCATGTAATAAACAACGAGTAGAAAAAATGTTAATTAATTGTCTATAATATAATATTTTATGGTAATGTAATTAAATCTGGACGTTATTTTGCGAACTCAATTGAACATTATGTTTAATTAAATCGATTGTCTTGTGTGTACACCTATATACTTCATTTCAATACAAACATAATGTTGTGGTAATAATTATTGTGCAAGCTATTTTTTTTTTATTATTGAGTATCTATACACAGCGTACACAAGCACTTATCGCAATACTGATCTTGTTTAAATATATTTATATACATAGAATTTTTTACGAATAAAAATTAATAACTTAATTTTAAATGTCGTTAAAGATCAACAATAATAACACAATATCACAACCGACCTACCCTAACACTCTAACATCATATACGTTACAATTAAATTTCGAACTCAAATGTACTAAAAACCATTCACAAAATAATCACGATAATCTATAAGTCACTTATTGCTTTCGATGTGTGCCACTAACTTTAAATCTATAATAACAAAACAAAGTTTCTGTCCGTCTGTTTGTTTGTTTTTCTGTAGCAATATACTGCCGAATGTGCACGCAGAAGTTTGAAAATTCGCGTTTATTTCAAATTTCTTATCATAAGCAAATTATCAATGAAATAATTGTTTTGGTTGATGAAAATTGAATATTTTAGTAACAAAATGAATTTAAACTAAAATTTCATCTATTTATTGAAATTTTGGTACAGGTTGCTATTTGAAAATCAAAATTGGGTTGTGGTTTTGCTCTTAAAAATAGAAAAAAGTAAGGACAATGTAACATTTTAGAATATATGAATTTAAAATTTGTTTAGACAAGTTTTTTTTGAAAAAATAAATATTTCATAGAAATTTATTGTAATATGAAATTTGAGAGTCCCCTGTAGAAGCGGATGAACTGGTCTGTATGCACCTATGAAGTCAGATTTCCGTAATAAACCCATAAACAAAAAACAATTCTGAACAAAGTACTATTATTCGTATTATTTTTTTTTATTTTTTTTTGTCTTTGTTGCCAAAGGAACCCAGAAATCAAAAAAATTGTACCAAAAATAGCCAGTAAAAAAAATACTAAGAAATTCAAAAAATACCTCCTCAATGTACAAATTAGATCAAAAATACTACAAGAAAGTTCTTATAAAGTTTTTGATTGTAGTAAGATTTCTGGTAGAAATTTTGTTTACAGTAACAAAAAAAAAAAAAAAATCCATCACAGGAAAATACTAATACATTTCTCGCTTCGCTCAGAATTTAAAACAGTTATCATTAATTATTTGGTTGTCACGAGCAAGGAAGTACTCCCTTTAAAAAAAATTATCGGGCAAAATCGCCTGACTGCAATAGGGGCATGGGAATCACGGAAGTACACATTATTTTATTTTCGTTCAATACTGCAGTGCACTGGTAAAACAGCGTGAGACGGCTTTTGCCAAAAAAAGTGAACATTGTAATATAATGTATTGTATGAAGTTAATTCGAATTAAAAGGCATTCACTGTATTAAAATATATTTCAAATGGGTTACACGTAATGAGTATAGTTTAGCGTTGTCCAGTATCCTATTACTTTACAACATTATCACGTATATCGGAAAAAAAAAATTAATTATCTATCTTTACATAATATAAAGAAAAAACTTACCAGAAAAATGAAATATTCCAATAAAATATTTTACTGCGTTCAATCTTCTTGATAGTTTTAAAACTCGTAAAACGGTACGGATAGAATAATCATTCCGGCACAATAATTCACGCACTCAATAAACAATAGGTACTGCAGATGTCGACGGATGACGTACATCTTTATACTAAAATGTTAACGAACGAAAACGTTACGAATAAAACAAAAAAAAAAAAAATTAAAAAACAATAACAATATTTTTTTTTCTTTAGATTGGACCACCCCTCATTTCCGAAGTACACGCGAACATGGACATTTTGGGAGCCAAACATTTTAAAAAAGGCGGACCTGTGCAGTTGGCAATGATTATTGCCTATTTTTTGTTATTATTATTATGAATTTTCACCTTGGGGCTCTCATCGTCGAATCAACCCGCAGAGACGGACGACTTACATAAGTATATTAGGTATCTATTACCATTTCGCGTGCACGAATGGCAAATCGAACTATTGATCCATGACTCAAGGGCAAGGGCAAGAGCAATGGAATATTATTATGTTCGTCATCTCACCAACAACTCATCGAGGTTAATTATGTGCACGGAACGTACGTGCATTTTTTTTTCTTTTTTAAATTAAGACAACGGAGGCGTTTGAAAACTTTCGGTAGGAGGCGCGAAAAGAATGGGAAACGGTAGTAAATATACCAATCGAAATGTTACGTATATAGTAAATCACTACCATCGAGAAATGCACTGTTGTGACGCTTACGTATACAACGAGTGTGTGTACACAGTTTTACCTATAGGCAATAATATTATGTAGGTGTGAGTAAAAAAAAATTTTTTTTTATAAACCAAACATAGGCACGTCAATAATTTCGGCTATCGCTCAACAGGGATTCTCTCTAATATTTTATTCTATTATATTCATAGATGTATACCGTTTTCAATTAAATTGTATGATGTATATGTTATATACTATAATATAATATCTATACGTTACGGAGGAGTCCTTCAGAAAAACGATGGTTTTTAAAAAATTCTTACGAGTAATTATTTATTATATTCCGGGACGTACAACTCTATATATAAAACGACGACGGGGACATGTTATTATTTTATATTCAATGTAAACCGAAAACCACAATAGGCTTTGATTATACGACTTTCGATATAAAATATCGCATAAAAAAATAATCTTATTGAATTTTTGTTCTTATGAACGTTATTGACTGACGATGAACAATTACTATTAAAAATATCTCGGCTATGATATTATACGGATATTAAACACTATTTTAATATACCAAATAAGAAAAATTACTTTACTTTACATTACTTTATGAATACCTACCTACTATACGTGTATCAACGTAACAATTTTTTTTTTCAATAGTTATATACTCTTCTGGGTGTTCTATATTCACAGTGGCGTGCCCAGAAATTTTCAATGGGGTTTAGAAAATAATAGTTATGAATCTTCTTATATGGCTCACGCGTCAACGGAAATTTAAAAGTCAAATATCTAAAAAAGCCAATTTGTATTCATTAAATCAGGCTTTTCTTTGTAACTTGACTGAACTATATATTTATATTCCAAGATTAAACCACTAAATAAATACTCGTTGTTGTTTTATTTTTAAGCGAATGGGGAACATTATACCCTTCAACCTTTCCTCTCCCCTGCAAACGCTATAAATATTCAAATTCTAACAATAATTCTAATAAAACAAGACCCATGTGCATCACAGTTCTTTCACTATAAAATCGAATCCTCCCACCTCTATTTTATGTTATATAAAATATATCCATTGTAAAACAATAAATAACCGAACACTATAATATTACTATAATATAACTTTACAATTATAATACTTCCGAAAGATTTATGACATTTTAACGTAAATATTGTGAAGTGGGGTTGAAAGTTGAAACCCCCAAAAAACACATCCTTAACACTAACGCAATACATGTATAAATTGTCTAAAGAACTACAATGGTTGTTACTTTTTTAAGATTTGGTATTTGAATGAACAACTAGCATAAGTATTTCTCGTTTTTAACAATGTTCCTTAGTAAGTATCAATTTAATCGCTACCAGTACTTACGCAACATCGCTCCATCCGCAAACAATCACTTCTAATACTATGATAGAAATACATATAATTTTGATTCATCAATGCCTATTTGCTTCTATAATAGCACTACATTTTTCCAGGAACAAAAAGGATCAAATTAAAGAAACCACCTCGGAGAACCATCATAGAACTTGACGTTTCTAACTTCAGCATCCTAAACGCTAGCGGGAAAATTCGACAACATCACAGTTGGATCCGTAAAACTAGAACGATGTCGGTAGTTATGAAGACTCAGAGTACCACTCGTCACGCAAGAAATAGACCACCCTTAATCGATTCCAGACTGAGCATAGGAAATACAGATATCTGATACCCAAATGAAGTTCAATCTCAGTCCCAAGGTGTGATTATGACTACTTCAAAAAGAAAAGTAACTCACTATCACTACAGCCACTTTTTTGGTTTTACAATGATGATTATTTTAATTTTTTTCAGTGGACAACTTTTCTACCGGCAGTTTTGCTCTGATTTACAATGATAGCACTTTTTCTGAAAGGAAATCGAACTGGCGGGGGGAGAGAAGGCCATTTTTTTGATTTTCCAAAGAGTTTTCTTAATAAATTGGAAAAACCGGATAAAAACGGGAAAATGTACAACATTTATTAAGTAGTAAAATATTATTGTCTTTGTTTTTCTGTGAACAACTTTTCAACCAGTATGTTTGCGATTTCAAAAATACATATTAGGCACATATTTATGACAAGTTCAATATTGAATCAAGCTAAGAATACAATGCAGCTAAGAGTATATTGGAGAGCGCACATGGGGGGGCGATCGCCTCTATCTCCTCCCTGGATTCACCACTGGTCACATGTGTTATCATAAAAACTATAAAATGTCTTTTAAAAAAAATAGTAGTTGGTACCGGACAAAACTAGTCACAAGTAGGAACGTGATGAGGTTACATTTCATAAGTAAGACAGATTTTTAAAAAAAGACCGTGATATTTTTTTACTAATACCTACATTTCGTGCATTTTCCAATTTTTCCTCAGTTTTTCCCATTTCTTGGGAAAACTTCTGAGGAAATCAACAAATGACCTCCTTAAAGTACCACTCCAGTCAGATTTTCTTTCGGAAAAAGTGCTATCATTTTAAAACCAATACATTCCTCGCACCACTCAGAATCTAAAAAAAAATACTACATTATGTTCAACTTTTTTTTTATCTCTAAATTAAATTTATAAATTATATTAATTCTCGTATTAAATTGTCAATCAGTTCTGTTTGATCAAATAATTGTATCCACATAGTACCTACCAAGGAAAAACTATGTAAAAAAAACTAGAAAATGTGGAATGCCTATTAATTGCTAAAACTTATTTTCAGAATATTTTGAAATCTTTATCGTGTCTATAAAAGGGAAATATAAGTCTCATGTCAAATTTCAAGTTTCTTCGAATAATTATATCTGAATTATAACAAATCCTTTCTAACCAGATTTAAAATGCAACAAAAAAAGATCTCTTGTCATTTTACAGACAGAAAAAAAAACACACAACATAATAATACCGATAGATCTAAAATAAACGTAACTTAATACACATATTATTACATTATCTCGTACAATATACAGTATTCCGGAAAATTATTTACAGTTCTCAATGAATGTTCGGAAAAACGGAGAGTCGCGTTATGGGACCGCGGACTACGGCCATGGCTCTGAAAGTCTCAACGGTTATATTACAGTGTGCGAACGAGTTAGCATTTGCCTAGGGAAAAAAATTATATTAGGTATACGTTCGTGAAAGTAGAATATATACCTAAGTATTATCTTTATTGGTTTATTAACCAACGGCAATCGCGTATGAAAATCGAAATTCTGATCCGAATAAGATATTGTCACTATATTACGGTCAAGAAAAAAAAAAGAGACATGGGTTTTGTGGAATGTACTGCGACATAGCGGATTAATACGATTCGTTTTTTTTCGGATCTTGAATGTGCATGCGTTGAGGAAACCGTTTCGTGGTGCTTACTCAAAGGCGACGGAAAGAACGCTGCGGAAGTTCCGTTTTTACAAGTAACAATATATACTGTCACCGCTATTTGCTTGTCTCTGACTAGGTTACAAAATTAAAATTCCGCGTACGTCGATTATATCTATATCATATGATTTATTACACGCAACGGCAGCACGCCGACAAAGGCTATATAGTTCCGGTGTATTTTCTTTTTTTTCTCAAACAATAGAGATTTTTCGCACTATACGTTGTGTCCAGATACCGGAACCGAACCGAAGAAATCCGGTCTGGAACCCAAAACCCTTAAAATAAACTGGATAACAGGAACCTAATTCAAATATTTTCGAATAATCGAATCCGAAACCGGAAACCCATGGTTTTTAACGATAAATACCGGGATTTACAATTCGTTATACTCAATTCAGAAGTACACTAGAAAAACAAAATTGAAAATAATAAAACCATTATTACGTAAACATTCCAGAACGCAGCTGTCATTTATATTTTACTACCTGCTTAGGCGATTCGTTTACATTTCGCGGCGACTCCGTGACAACGTTGTACACCAAGGTGTTTATATATATCCCACATCTTGATCTTAGTCATGGATATCACGGTGTCGTACCATATAAAATAATGCAAACAAATCGCTCAAGTCTGCCATATTAGAGAACGAAAAAGCGTACGGGTGACGGGTCTAGTATAGGGACGTTCTAACCATTATTCTTTATTATCTATGGGTGACACGCGTCATAAACACTGTTTTCGTTATAAATCGTAATAAATATGGATGATCGGGCTTCGTATAAATACCCAAATGATTGGGACTCAGATTAGGTTAATAGGTTAGGGTATACCAACAAAAAACGTCTTAGCGGACCAAAATAATAATACAATTTATTGTATTTTATTTTCTATTATAATTATTTTGTACGATTACCTAAATGTTAAAATTGTTTTATTTTCATATTTTCTATGTATATTTTGTGTTAAATATCGGTAAGAACTAAAAAAGCGCGTAGTTTATTTTTTAAACCTAATTTGTGACAACTAAATAATTATTTATTTTCAAGCACTTCTTCCTTCTCCATTTAAAAATCCTACGTACGCCACTAACCACAGTAATTAAGAAGTAAAATAAAGATTATTCCTATACATATTGTATGAACATTGAAATAATGTGCATATTATTATACCTATAGGTATCTATTATAATAATATATAGGCGAGCGGAAATTCTCGTGCGTTCCTTGACGGTCGTTTAGCGTCTCGGAAATTGCCTACTGGAACAATCTGATTATCCAACGCCTCAAATAATAAAGAACCCCTCGGCGAGGGACCAAGGTATAATATATGTAAATACAGATTGATACGCCATGTGATTACCGCAGACAATATCTCGTTTCGTTGATAACGGGGAAAATAAAATAACGACAACCGTATAATAATAAATCGACCGCAATCTAAAACCATAATATATTATAGAAACCGTTTTAATCTTCGGGGTCCTGCTAATGATTGTCATTGTGTGGTATTATTACCACTTTTTATCGGCATTCTGTCAAAACAATACAACGGCTCTATACCATCGGAGTATTCGGGTCCCCGGCCAGTCCGTATCGGAAATAAATTCGTTCTTATTTGTCAAGTACACCCCTGATATATGTGCGTCTTTCTTTTCTTTTTCACTCGGCTGTAGCTTTAATTCGGGGTCCGTCGTCAATTATTCACCGATTCTTTCGTTTTTCAATTCTGAAGGGAAGTTATCGGTTCTCATACTTTGAACCTTGTATACAATTTTCATACATTTCTGCTCGGCCAAAACGATTTTATACACATAAAACAAAATTATTTCAAATGCCTGTAAATAACTAAAATATTACCAGAATATTTTTAAATCTAAAAAAACACAACTTGAAAGCACTCTATCAAAAATTTTAAGTTTTTACAGTTACTTGTAATCGAATATCATGGTGTTTTTTTCTACGTTTGACCCTACATTGATAACTGTAATTTGATAACTACAAGCAAACCAAAAAAATTACTTTCTCTAGATAAGTACAATTTACTTTTAGAATATATGACGGTGGTACACTTGTAAATCAGATCAAGGTTTCTGGTAGAAAAATTGTAATTAACAGACGGGGGAAAATAATAAAAGTTGAAAAACAGATATATTATAATATATCTGAATTCTCAGAATCTAAAATAATCAATGAGTACACAATATGTACTTAGTCGAGAAATTAAAAAAATAAATGGCCAATAATAATCGTTATATACTTACGTGAAAATTATGATAAATTATAATACATATAATGAGTACATGAGTAATGTAATAATGCTGTTTTATGACGCCGTAGTTGAAAAACAAATTGTTATTAAAATATTAACTACGGGTACTTTGTTAAGACGCATAAAAAATGTTTCGGGCCAATGACCAGAATGACGTTATCATTTTTTATGAATCCACGCCATCACAAACTATCATGATGTATGTAAGCAATACCTACTAAAGTAACTATCCCCATAATACACATACACGTAAGTATTTTTTTAGTGATTTGCAACTGTCCGCATTTCCATACATTGTCCCACGCATTAAACAACAAATCTTTTTAAATATTTGACAATATTATTTATTGCTGTTTTACACGTAATGTAACTATTGAATAGTTTTGGATATATAGGTAGGATACCATTTATTTCTAAAAATACCTACTTATATCTAATACTTATAATCTATATTATATAAGTACCTCACGGCTTACATAGGTATACATTATAGATATAATCAATACTCGAATTGGAAAAAAAAAGAGGGACTATGAGACTTAAAATAATTAACGTTCCTTGCAATAATTACTAAACTCAACCAACAACAGTCCTGCAGACTACGTTTTTGTTGGTGTTGCCCTCTTGTTTCCGCCACTGCGTTCCATGAGTTCCACTTCAAACAAATAGTAAAGGCACGTTTAAATTTTAGAAAAATTCGCCGAGGTGCTCCGTCCCCCTAAATTCGAGCACTGCCTCTGTCTCAGTAGAAATAATTACTAAAGGGACACTAAAAAAAAAATATACACGTAAAAGTTGAGAAGCTCTCCGTTAGTTCATGCACAGTGTACATTAAGTTATTCGACACCGTAAATTTGTCAATCAGCTTATCCCTAGGTTTTTCCAAAAAATTTTCCCGGTATTTCCCAATTATTGCAAAAACAAAAAAGAAACCTTTTTAAAGTACCAACCCGATGACATTTCCTTTCGGAAAAGGTGCGACGCTTGATATGTCGGAACGAGATTTCTGGTAGACATTTTGTGCGCAGTATATAAAAAAATATAAATAAAAAGATAAAATAAAACCACCATTGTAAAACCAACACACTCCTCGTTACGATCTGAATCTAAAAGCATTGGGGGAGGGGAGAATTATAACACCCGAAACCCCATCTGAAATATAGGTATGATAGGTGTGTAGTAGTTATTAGGTATATTTTCTACAAACTACGAAAAAAGTGACCAGCAAGCGACTAAAACCGTGTTACATATACTCTACAGTAAACGTCGCGGGCCAAAAAAATTAAATTATGTTTTATCTATAACGCGTACCTATTATATGATGTGTTACCGTTCACGTGACCTTAGTAGATACCTATTTCGTGATGCGTAGAACGCAGACAAAACAATATTATGCGTTTGCGGTTTATGTCTGGATATCTTTTATAACACTAGACACGGTCGTATGCAACCACTCGAGCATGATATTTTATACCTACGTAACAATAATATTATTATGCAATCTGATCAATAAACGCCGTCAAAAACTCAAACTTCATCGGAAAGACTATGTTTATTTATTTTCAGTTTCTCATAAAAAAAAATAAAAACAACGAGACCACAAGATCATAATCTTTGACATCTTAGATAAAAACCAGACTAGGTGAGGATTCGAGACAACCATATAGTTACGCCATCTATATTTGCTAAGATTCGTCTTCGGTTCACCTCTCCTATCGCTATTTTTTTTTTACTCTTGCACCAATGCTCGAAATCGAAAATGTATTGAGCACAACTTATAATTTTTTTTAAAAACTTATAAAATATTTATGATTTATAGAAAGCAATGATAAACATTGTAGGTTTTTTTTTTTTTACCTGTGAACAACTTTTCCGCTAGAAATCTTGCTCTGATTTTCAAGTATAACACCTTTTTGAAAAAAAATGTTATCTTCGTGGTATATTTAAAAAAAGTTAATTTTTTGATTTTCCAAGTTTTTTTATAATAATCAGGAAAAACCAGGAAAGACGTTCTTTGTGGTAAAAAAATAAAATTGAGAATTCTATTATTAAATTTTGACGAAAATCGTAAATATTACGGGCTTTTAAACATGTACTCTGCTCAAAATCGTTTTCAATTAGCAATGGTTAATCGTTAGATAGGTACACAAAATTTCTGTGGAAATTTCAGATCCGAATGGTTATTTTTAACTGAATTACAACGAAAAAGAAAACGATATTGTAGACATTTTCTCGTTTATTCCTCAATTTACATCTTGTAAAACCAATACTAGCTAGTGTAACCAAAGTCCAAACTTAAATAATAGAGTAATGATAGAATCACCATGCAACAGGCCAGTGTTGGGAAGGAACGCGTTCCTTTAATAGGAACAAAGCTTGAGACGCGTTCCTTTTCAAATATAGGAACGAGGAATGGAAAAGTTCCTATTTAAAAGAACGTGAACGCAAATTTCCGTTTGTCCTATTACTAAAAAAAAAAAAAAAAAATGAAATACACCTTATATTGTACTTAATGTGGAGCATTGAATATAAAGAATAATAATTTAATGTTGGTATCACTTCGTCATTTACTAATAAATTACTACAATGGTACAATGTATTATTCTCCATTTTTAGTAATACACTAGGTAGGTAATAGTATGTACATAGGTACAAGGTACATAATATTTAAATATGTTAATAAAAGATTAAACCATACGGTTGTTTACTTAATAATCGCGATATAAACGGTATCTCAATGATAAATATTGTTTAAAATAGTGTGGCGGTCCTAACAGGAACCATGGATTTCTTCAAACAAAATTTTCTTTTTTCCATTTTCATTTTTTAGGGTAGGAAATTAATTTAATTTATTAGGATTTTAAACATGTCAATTTCAAGAAGTAAGGATAATTTCTAATGTAGGTAATGTAACCTTTCTAAGTACCTAATTGATATTACTAGATGATCCTATATATTAATAAACTACACTCTGGCCCACAAGTAAATAACCGTAAATCGTGCATCTGACAGTCGTGTCATCATCATTGGCTACTCGAAAGCATGTGCGAAGCGCAGGCGCACAGAGAAGAACAAGTTTTTCCAGGTATTCACTCGAGGGCCAAATTACAGGTTATTAACTTTCATACTACTCTTAATGATTTTGGCTGAAGCCACACGACCGAATCATATACATTTTATTGCAATACCTGTTGAAGCTGTCTTATTACCATTGTTACCGCAATAACTAAGACCATGATTGTTAATAGCATTGCACGGACATAACAGTTATACTGGTACAACTTATACACTAGGGTGATATTATACCAATATAAGTACACACATAAATATAATTTTTTTTTTTTTTAAGACATCTAAAATGAATTCAAATAAAACTAATAAATACCACACAATAAAATATAATGACAAAATATTATTATATTACAATAATAATTAATGCTATTCAATCACAAAATTATTTACTAAGCAAAATAATATGATATTGAAATTATTCTAAAAACATTAATAGTGTACTATATAAAAATATAATAGGGAACTAAGTTAGTTATCAGTGGCATTCATTATAATGTGATAATTGCTATAGTTACAATATTCAATAACAATAATCACTAATCAGAGTTTCAACATAGTTGTACCTCAATATTTTAATTTTTCAATTCAATATATTTTGAATACAAACAAAATTAGGTATTATGTAAAAAGAAAGTTACTGTTTACATAAAAATTGTCTTATTTATATATATATAAATTAAATTAATATTATAATTGAAATTGTATTAAAATAAAATTAAACTAAATAGTGATGATTAAATAAATTAAATTTCTAAATGTATTAATCCAATTCTACTCTACAAGGTTTACCAATACTGGCGTCATCTTCGTTATCAGATTCTTCTTTTTTAAATATATCTCCATCATCAACATCGTCCCACTCATCAGTAATGTCAATAGATAATTTGGGCCTAACTTCCTTTTCTTTATCGATCTGTGCAGCATCTTCTAATGTTAGCGTTTCAACTTCTGTTACTTCTTCAGTGTAGACAATTTCATTTTTTACTAAACTGCCTTTTATTTGTTTATTTTCTTGGTTTAAAACATCATTATCATTTAATAAAACTTCTTCAATTTTATCATAGCTTTTATTTTCAGCTAATATTTTAGAGCCAGGTGGTATATTATCTATAACGGAAATCAATAGTTCTTTAGTTGATGAACTTGAAGTCATCTCATCTACTTTATGGAAATTTCTCAAATGACCTTTAAGCATCAAACTGGAACGAAATTCTTGAGAACATTTATTGCATGTGTAATGAGCACCTGATTTGGATACTTGTGATTTAGAGCCACATTTGTCCAAAGTTTTGTGTCGTTTTAAATGAACTTCAGTTGTGGCAACAAATCCACAATATTCACATTTTGGAAACTTAAAATCAGCAGGTGGCTGAATGCCATGTTTTGTGTACATATGATGTACTTGAAGACTTTTGCGTACAGAAAAGTGCCCACAATGTTCACAAACCCTAGTATCTTCCTTTTCATTATGTTTTTCAACTAAATGTCTCCTAAATGTAAAATAGGTGTCTAATTTTAATGGGTTAGTATCAGTTCCACAAAGATTACAACTCCAAGGACCCTTAGTGTCCGTTATATCTGGTTTAACTTTATGAGTCAATGTTTCGACATCACTACCAGCTGGTAAAATTTTCTCAACTGAATTAGGAGTGTTTATAATTATGCTTTCAAATTGATTCTGATTATGACGTGACATAATTTTCAATTTAATGTTACCTTTACTTTGCAATAAATATGGGAATTTCTTTAAAATTGATTGTACTACTTTATTATTAGAATTCTCTGGGTCTGTATCACTAACAATTTTTAATTTCTTACCAATTGGTGATGTTTCAGTTTCACATTTTATAATGCTTTGTTGTGTTTTATAACTCGTATTTGCCAACTCTCCGTTTGATGTTCTTTTAAGCATTGCTCGTGCATTATCTGTATTTTCTTGTTTTATTAGAGGCGCACTATCATATTTTGGTAGTTCAAACGTGTTTTCAATGAATTCAGGAACATCTTCAGCGTCACAATCAAACCTCATTGGTTTATTTTCACTTAGAACATCTTTTACTTTCATAGTGTTTATAAAAGTAGATGCAGGGGTGTGTTCAGGAGGTGATCTAACCATCATATTAGTTTGATTTATCGGTTTCTTTGCAGGCCTATATTGATTTAGTGCAATTGCAGAATGAGTTCTTGATGTTGAAGCTAGAGGCGAATGATACTTAGTGGGCATTTTTCTTGTACTAGGCTGTGACTCTAGAAGTTTAAGTAAAACAGTAACCTGTAACATGTCTGCTACTTCAAGTAAACTCATACGAGTGTCTTCGGTATGGTGAAGTTGTCCAGTATACATGAACATAATAACACTCTTTACAGCATTGAAATCTAAATGGGCAGGCATTATCATTGATGTATCATTATTTGGATGAGAAACAAAATAATCTGAACATGTATTCAATACAACTCGGTGAACTTTAAACGATTCATTTGAATGTGAACGAATGGTGTAATCGCAATATTCATCTTTTTTGGCTAAGTTGTTAAGGCGTTGCATGAAGAAATTGCCCCAGTTTTCAATTTTCAACTGACTAGGTGTAATATGAAGTGACATGATTTATCACGTAGAATCTAAAAATGAAACAAAATTTAAATATTAAAATTAACTTATAGTTAGTTTCAGGGTTTTTCAATAATAACTATCCAATTGTTATTATCGAAGATAATATTTAAAAAAAAAAGAGCTAATACAGCTAATAGGTGGGAAGTCAGAAAGGTAAGATACATAGTAATATAATTAATATCTGTATGCACAAATAAATCATAACTGAGGAAATATGATCAAATGTTTGTGTAAACATGTTTTGAAATATTATAATTTTTGAGATTTGCTTAAAAAATTTAACTTAATATATGTATATATTTTTTAAAAAAACAGTTGTTTTTTTAAAAAATACATTATACACAGCTTTTTTTGCTACTCTATACAACTTATAATGAACTTTGTATTCAATTATCAAGCATTTCTGTTTGGTCAAACAACTTTATTCATATAAAATAAAAAATGTAAAATTCCTATAAATAGCTTAAAAATCACAAGTATGTTTTGAAAATTTTACCATAAATAAAAATTGCCAATCTAAGTATTCTGTAAAAATGTCAGATCTCTAATATTATTTTGTTTCACACAACAACTAACACAATATTGAAAATATTTTTGCAATCAATGTTGTCTTTTTTTTTGTTATAAAATAAGGAAATAATGAAATTATAAGTTTCTTCCAATTAAGAGCTTTTATTTAAAAAATTGCGTCAAAAATCAAAAACTAACCACTCTAAAGTACAATCTAGACAACTTGAACTTTCAGAAAAGTTGCTAGACATAAAAATCTGAGCAAGTTTACTAGGAAAAACGTGTCTACAGACTAGGACAAAGAACAAAGAAAAATAATAATAATAAACAGCATTGTAAAACCAATAGCTTTCTTAACCAATAGCCCTTTCTACGTTCGGGAATCTAAAACAAGATGTAAGATACCTCATAACAAATTGTTTTTTAATTTTTTATTTAGCATAACACTATACATTTTATCTTTAAAATAATAAATTATTTATTTATTTTATTTTTATTCAATAAACACAGATCCCTGGTTAGTCTTATAATTTAATTTACATTATTATTATTTATTTGTCGTACATTATTTAAAAATTCAACATAGAATGGAAAATACAGATAACATTTTGTTTTTTGAGCTATTACATTGGAAAAGATGACAGCTCAGATTTTAATGTTGTCGCTTACTTTAATTAATCCAAATTTTGTCATTTTAACATAAATTGAATTGAATTAAATAGACAGTTTAAAAAAATGTCTTCATAAATATTTATATAGCATTGAATTATTTTTCTTTTTCTTTGCTTTTATCCTACTCTTAACTTTTTTTCTTGCCTTCCACATTTTCGTAAACAATATCATTTGTTTATCTATGTACTCCTATCTATCTCCTCTAATGATCTCTGAACACTTTTTATTTTGCCAACCTCTTATCCCATTTACTTAAACACTACTTAACTCTCTTATTATCTTTTTGAATATCTCATAAAAGATAACCTAATATAATTCTTTATTTGTTATCTAAATAGAATAAAGTATAAATATCATACATTTGACATTTAATAAGTACCTATTTAAAGAATAACAGAACAAATGTATTTATAATGAACGTGTTTTAGTAGTCTTATAGACTATTAAATAAGCACTCAATATTTAATAATAAAGTACCAAGGTAATAATATGATGAGTGTATAAATGTTATAAGATTTGTTTCAAAATTTAAAATAATCTTAATCAGAAATGAAATGTTGTCCAATCATCAAAATCAATAAATCTCAAACTGAGAATAATATATCCAACCATATTCTTTTGTTTAATAAAAATTATAAGTTCTCATAACTAATCTATCAATATCTGTGAAAAATCAATACAATTTTTATATTTTCTAAGTTTTTTTTTTCTCCAACTGAGAAAGAAGGAAGATTATGTGTAGGTTGAATCTATATAATATGTAGGTATATATGTATGTATTCACGCAAATTATGTTCTCATTTGTGGCTTGGATAACTGCACCGATTCTCATGAAATAAAAAATAAAAAATCTGTATATCTTTGAGAGTATTCTTGACTGTGTTTACTTACATACCTATGTTTGTCTAAAAAAGAAAAATACCTTGTCGATCATCTACTCAAATTTCTATGATTGCTACACGATTTCAAATTGAAATTGATCAAAATAATTGTTATCGATGTAACTAAATTGATAAAATAAAATTGAATTTAATAATATTATCGCTATATACCTATAAGATTCATTTTAATTATTATTTACTATAGATACATCAAATGCATTTGATATTTGTTCGTTACCTCGACTACCCATTACGCTTTGTTATCACAGCAATCGAATAAAGTTAACGAAATAGCTATTGTTTTAAATTATTTATTCAAACTATCACAGACAGTTGTGAAATAAATGTCCCCCACGATTCCCTTTACATGACACTCATAATAAGGAATCGTCACATTTCATTTACAATTTTTTATATAAAAATATATCATACCTTGGTAACTTTGTTTTCTATACACACATGCATTGTCTGCAGATAATCTGTATTTTGTTCGGCTAATTAATTATGAAATACATGGATATCATATTTATTGTCTATATAAAAAATAAGTTTCTTGGGAAATTTCAGGGGTGGTAAAGACCATCAAGCACCCCCTTGGTTAAGCCTGTGCTCTTCCAATATTGTTCTTTCTCTTTGTAAATATACCCTCATTAATACAGAGAAAAGAAATTTGTTTTTATAACAAGTACTGTACACGCTCTTGCATATAATTATTCCAATACACAACTTTGCAAAGATTCATATTCAAATACTTTTTCACAAAAACAATTTAAATCGAATATCAACTTTGATAACATGAAGATCAACTGGCACAATCATTAGACGACTGGTGACCCAGGTGGTCAAGATAAATGGATAAGTGACTGGCAGGCGTAGGTTAATATCACTCTATGCTTGCAGTTAGTTTTTGCGGCATTGGCCAGTTATCAAGATAACGGAAAAGTACGGTGCATTGCTATTTTCTGCGTCCCAACTAGGGGGCCAGATAGATCGGTTATGTTTGATTACCTACTGAAACACAAATAACAGTAATAGTCCGCATCATTGTACACACCTCACTTGATGGCTGCTGTCGTCAACAGGAACGGTGCTCAAAAACCGTTAGTCAATTGTGGAGGCTTTGTACGGCTGTACTCACACAGCGGACGCTGTCACGTCTGATTAACCGACAGTACCGATGTAGCGGCCGTGTCGGAGTCTCGAAACCTGTAAAACGACAATATATTGATCAGGATATTGACGTGCAAAATGCGCGCCAACAACGGTCAGGGACCGCCAGCAGGGACGCCCGGCGTGTGCGGCCCGGCGGCGGTGCCGGACGCGCAAAACGATTTTGGCGGTCGGACGTCATAGTCAGGACACGATAATAAGAACGGTTTCTTTTTATCATCGGCGTCGCGTTCCTGTGCATAATAATTAAATCGGACGATAGTGCGGTCGTCGCACAGAATGCACGACGACCGGGAGGCGGTTGTCGCTTACCACGAGATAGTGCTGGGCGTCTCCTGAAACGCCGTCCCGAGTTGGCGTCCTGGACGCCCGTTCGGTTTGATCGTACGAAAATCGGAAAGCCGGCCGACAGCGGGACACGACGACTCGCTAAAGGCGACACAAACATACGCACAAGGCTTATTCGTCGGCGACGACTGAGACGGTTTAACGCGACGGGCGATTTTGAGACGGCGAATAATAACAATATTATTTTTATCAGAGTATCAAACGGCCGGAGCGGCCATGATTGTTCGGCGAATCCTAGTTAATAGCGCTTACGACGCGCCACCTGCCGATGATGACGGGCGCACAAACGACGCGGACGCCGTCATCGGCGAGCGACCGCAGTGCTGCCACACGGAAGACCTTCGGATCCATTCCGTTCGACGCCAGCGCCACGCCGCCGCCGAGATTCGCGACCGGAACATTACTGGTCATTCTATGGATCGGCGACGGCTGGAGGGCCCGCAGGAGGGGGAGAGTATTTTTCGTGATCGGCCGCAAACAATAATATTGTACGAAAAAAATACCTACCCACTGGCCGATGAAAGAAAGCGTAATATCATCAAGTTGTCGGTATTGCAAAGAATTGTGTAGATCCATCCAAACACCGGCAGAAAATGCACCTTTTATGAAATGTTCGCGTTATAATTTCGATTAGTCGTCTACCTATATTATGTACAAATTTTGAACCTGAAACCTAGCCTATAGTAGGTACGCCGTACATATTTTACACCCCGCTAAACTTATTTTCAGTAAAAAAAAAAAAAAATTTCGTAATCGGATTACGTATTCGAAAAAACGGTTTTTCAAGAATACGCAGGTAACTAACCGAAATCCGAATAGGTACTTGGTGCATTTCAAAAAATATGTTCAAACAATATACTTACGCGGATATTCCAACATTTTACACGCCTCATATTCAAACGCAAAGACTGTTTAGTTTTACAATAATATTTTCTTTTTGCCCGCAAACAATACTTTTCGACCCTACATCTGCAATCGCCGTCAAGAATGGTATCTGGTGGAAAATTGTGTTTCTAGTCGTTGCGTCGCAACGGTCGTTTTTTCATTTCCCTTGTACTTTTCTAATATAAACGGCAGTTGTTACCCGAGTAATCGATTTTAATCAATTTTGTCCGAAAAACAATTCTGGGCATAATTCAACATTTTCTCACTGTTACAATTGTACCCGCACTTAACTGACGATTCCGTGTAGTTACCTACAGGACTATATCGTTCTACAAAGTGTTTTACTTTTCGACCGTCCGGTGTTTCGATGTCGGGTACCTACCTGCTGCAGATGTGAAGGTACGTCGAATGTGTTCACACCGACACGTAGGTGTTGTACGTTTAACATTTCGATTCTCTTGGACCCTCGGGGAATCTGGAGCAATCAATAAACAACATTACACGTCGAATGGGTACCTGTATTGCGTGCTACACAAACCGGTAGGAGCGCGAGGAAAAATATTCTCTTCGTACGAACAGTACGATGTTATATTCCTGAGTATAAATGTTATTATTTGTCGAACGAAAATCGATCAATTTGTTTAATATCTGAATAGATGGCGCTGTTTTCCCATTAAAGTCAATAGCCCACCTACTATAAAACCTCTATCGGTAGGTACTTTGCACCGAAACAATGTGCGATTATAATAGTTGATATAGTTACCTACGAACAATATTTTAAAACGTCCGGTATTTAAGGAACGAGTCCGGGGAATTATCGAAATATTAAACTTCTCGGTTTTTCGATATTTCATAACTTGTGTGTACCTGTAGATAATTATTTCTTATTTTGAATCGCGCTGCAGTTATTATCCTTAGTGTTTTAAAGCCGAACCACTCATAAACGTTCCGTTCGCATTTCCATTCAAATATACGGCCGCGCAACTGCGTTAACATTTTCACAAAGGTCTTCCGATCGACAATTTGCATCGAAACACACATAGGTTCTCATTAGAAAAACCATGACCGAGTGGCGAATGCCGAATAGGAATTATAGCTATAGTCAGTACTTGACTTTGGAAAAAATGTAGTGTAGATATTATCATAGGTACTCCAGCTAATTTTTAGAAAAGTAGCGTCCCTGGCATTCAAATATCCCTCACATCACCAACGTAAGACGAGTAAGACAATTGTATAAATTGTCTTACTCGTCGTAGAATTGTCAATAATAACGGCTCGGGTCTTACAGCACTACGAATAGGCGCTAACTGAAATACGCACGATATTACGCAAACACGCATAATACGCAATAAAAACATACAAAAAAAAAAAAAAAAAAAACGACCTCCCTAATGTACCTTACCGGTCGGATTTTCTTCCGGAAAAAGTGCTGTTGTTGTAAACAGGAACGGAATAACCGGTAGAAATGTCGTCCACAGGAAAAAAAATAAATAAACAACTTTGTAAAAATTATATGATTTATAATGCGCTTACACGAGGGTGATGCCTGTGTTTTTTTTTTTTTGTTTTTTAAATGTAAATACGTATCAAGTCTGTTACTTGTACATTCGTATTCCGGTCGAATCGTTCAGTTCACGGATCTCCGACCGGCCGTTTGGCGATGTACGATTTGATCTGAGGGACGGCCAACACTTTACGCTTAAGCCGTTCCAAATGCGGACGGCCGTCGACCAAGTTGATTTCGGTTACGGACCGTAAGTGATCCAAAATGGACGCGAAGTACAAGTCGGGCCAGGACAGCTGTGGAACGAAGAACGTCGTAACGTGCGATTCGTTTACCGTCGGTACTATCGTAACGACGGCGGATAATTGTTTGACGCGGTCCGCGATATAACGCGGACTGGACGCGACCGGGTCGACAGCGATAGATATTAACTGCCGGGTGGAGTACGACGCGCGTATTTTTTTTAAAACGCAATTACAAAATTAAAACGTGAAAATGGTCGTTAGACGTTGAACAAGTATGGGAGCAACTTGATTGCAATTGTGCCGGAATAACGGAATGTCGATAGTATCGCGGACCGCGGCACCGGAAATGGCAATAATATACACGCATACCTTTCCGTTCACGAAGTAACCGCCGTTTTCGGCAACGATCTTTTCAAACCGGTCGAAGTAGAACGTGATTTTCTCATTGACCAGCTGATCGTACATTTTGGATTTGATTTCTTCGTTTTTTTCGTGGTGATATTTCATGATTTCTGTAAAAATAATATCAATTACCCGCAGCCGCGTAAATAATAATTCGCTCAAAATTGGACTTCCCTGGTAGTTTTATACGTATAAAAAAAACAAAACGAAACACGTGTATTCAAATTATATCGCATTGGGCAGTGTCGCAGTCTAAAATGTCACAAGGGAGCCGGTTCATTCCCACGTCGCCGTCTCCCAATTTTCAGCGAAACGGGAAGACTTTTAATACCTCGGAAAACCGGTTCGTTTGTCGGCGATGTGGGAAGACGCGAGGAAGCCTGCTATATACCTAGATAAAACACTAAATCGTGGGCTTCTGATAAAAAGTATTTATTTATTTTTTTAAAACCTCTTTTTTGCACTTCTCCGCACTTTACGGCCGGGATAATCGAATAGTCAATAAATAACAAATTAATAATTAATATAATCGCATTAAAATTGACGATGAATACAACGATGATTTAGGCACGTAATTTTGACGGTCAAAAAAATACAGTCGGGTACACTCGCGGACACATTTTTCAAACCCAACTCGAATAAAATGTTTTTTGTTTTTTTTTTTTTTTCTTACCGTTGTTTAAAGGCTTCGCCTTGCCGCCGCTGCACCCGACTATCTTTTTTATCCGCCAATCCGTTTACTTCTTCCGGCAAGTTACGAATTACCGGTGTTTACCGATGGGATTATGAGCGGGAGCGTTAGAGCAACGTCACGTTGTTTGTTTTCCCGCCAGATAGTTTATGATATCGTCATGGTATTTCCCACGCGTACCCGGCGGTTGATACGCCCGCAGATAGCGCGCGCGGAAACGTTTACACTATGAACACTGATCGATCGATCGGTCAGGTTAGGGTCGGGCGTTCGATTACGTTCGGTCGCATTCGATTGGCGATTGGCGACAACGGACGATTCGTACTGTCTAATAATATCCGATTGTTTACGCGAACCGTCGAACGACTCGTTCGAATAACTTGTCCGTTCGTGTTGTCCGCGTTTTCGCGGATTATTCGCGAATAATTCGCCCGTTGGCGATTCATTCATTCGCTCGGAAAAACAGTGTTGTTTGTCAATTCATATCGAATCGTTTATAAAAAAAAACAGCGCGTGTTCGTATTTCCTGAACCGCGGCCGTTTCACTCGTCGCGTCCAATCGCCTATTAAATATTATTTTCCATCGAAACGGCAAATTATAAAAATGAACGTCGATCACTGTCGAGTGTACCGCGCGATCACGGTACCGTAGAAACGTATTATTCGAATAGATAATAAAAAATATTATAGTAAAATTATGATTCGAATGATACGGATGAATAAATTGTTCGAAAGGAAACCTATCGAATGAATAATTATTTGAATAATCGATAACGATTATTCGAAGGGACTGTCGGATAATTCGACAGTTGTCCGTTACCGTCCATCACTACATTCGATTATAATAATTGATTAATCGAAATAATCGCGCGACCCTACTCCCGGCATCATTTTTCATTACGAAAAACTCGTTTTTGTTATTTGTGTTTCCGTTTGTAAAATAGTAAATACGCGTTTTACATAATAATATTAGTATGTGCAATAGACACGATCCAATTCCCCCTCCCTCCCTCCCACTCCCCCGAATAATGCTTCACCAATACCTGAATACGCCACCGATATCAATCGCGTTACGTAAAACGACCTAATGACTTGTTAATAACACTCCGCGTTATTAAAAACGATATGAACAATAACCGTTTCGGTATATCAAATAAATGTATACACATGCATTTGTAAGTATATTATACCTGTATCCTATAATATAAATTTAAAAAAAAAAAAAAACCTCATCGGTATTTGTTTTTTTATTTTTTCTAGTACAGGCACCCAAAAAGGTGCCTGTAAAAATTGCCCCACCCCCCCCACATTGCTGTCCCCGTGAAATGTACGAGGAAAGTATCGGAAGCTGCAAAATGATTTTCATCGACATCGACATAAAACCTTTGAAACACTGTAAGAACGGATGAAATCGCTCGTTTTTAAACCAACTCACCTTGCCTTATTTCGTAGATATTATCGACGGCCACGTCAATCAGCAACGATTCCCATTCATCGTTTCCCGCCAATCCAGCTTTTTTCGCCAAGTACCGACTTATAGCTATAGACTGATTGATTATTTTCCCGTCGATTTCCAGTACTGGCACCTGACCGAACGGCATAGCTACACACGGAGAAAAAAAAAAACCGCGTTTATTTGTTATTGCGCGAGACGCGTTCCCGTTATATGCTATTTTTTTTTATCTATTATCGTGTTCGTTACCGTTATTATCATAAATTACGGGGAAAAAAAAAACTACGGTACCGACACTCGGAACTCACCGGGTTTTATCGACGGCCATTGTTCGCGGTCGAAACGGTAGTCTTCGAAATCGACGTTCAAATACGACAAAAGGAATCTGATTTGTTCGGCCCGTGCCGTGAGGTTGAAATACGTAAGTTTGTAAGCCATATTGGATGCGGGCCGGACGGTAATTGTTCGACGCGAGACCGGAATCGTTCTTTCGATCAGCCGCCGTCCGCGAGCCCGGTGAACACGGTGTTCCGGTTTTGCGCACGTCACACGGCCTCGGTGAAACGGAGAAAGTGCACGCGAGCGGTAGCGGGCGAATGGTCCGGGCGCTTCGAACACTACAGACCCGAAGGCGAACGTACAGCGCGCGCGGAGATAACGGGGACGCGTAATCGCGGCGGATTAAAACCGTACGCGTTTCCCCCGCGCATTGCGCGGATCCGATAAAAAAAAACAGCCGACACGATCGAGTTGGTCGGCACGCAATATCAAGACGCGCCCGCGTCGGTATTATCGTTCGGACGCGGGGTTTTTCGTCTTTTAAATAACATCCATAGCCTGGCCATCGACGTAATGGCCCGGCCGTTTCGCGGGCAGGTCACAGTCGCCGATAACGCACGTTACGCATTGAGGGGGCCACACGCGTTCAGTTAAAACTGTGCGATCCGAGTGCACAGTTTTGTCTGTGCAGATGAATCGTACGTGTGTAGGTTAATGTGACGTAATTTTTAGAACTGTACAGTCGATCGGAAATAAATCGAAAATACCAATTGATAACACTGTGGCGATTAAACTGTGCAGGTAAGACAAACTGACAACTGCACAGTGTTTAGTTTCGCTACAGACGCGTGAAAGTCGACTCAACTTGAAAGATTATGAAAGATTCATAACATACCTACTTAATACGGCCAGCAAGACTATGTATATTTAAAAAATGGCTAATTTGAGAATACCTAATAATGAGGTGCGTAGGGGATCTTTAAGGTATAGGCGGCAAAACGGAAGAATTTACGTTAGACTCTCTCAATTGCTATCGAATCGGTAGCTATAGAAGTTCACATTACAGATTCATACTCGACTAAAGGAAGTACCAAGGAGCATAAGAGATTCCATAAATAATGGTTGAATAATTATAATGAGTTATAGCAATACATTTTAAGAAGAATATTAAGAAAGTTAAAATTTAAAATTGTAAAATGAATAAATATGAAATTTATTATAAGTAACGGTAACACGAACAAAAGTATTCTTTTTATTTTGAAATAAAAAAGTATTTTTAAAGTATTTAAATATAAGTATTCGAGTAGTTAACAAGACTAGTTTACATACAAGATCATGCGATCATAGGTTCAAAAAAGTCCGCAAACAACTGAACGCCGGTCAAAATATATTATTTAAGGTGCTGCACCACAAAATTACTATTTGAATCAATCATCTGATCACAACTCAGCACGAGCTGTAAAAACTAAAGTCGTCTAATATTATCGTGATGTTTTGTGAGAAATGTATTCGGAAAATGACCGCGAAGTCACCATTGTCAGTGATGCCAGTTTTATTAATGATAAATCATTGCGAACGATTCATAACGGATTTCGGTTAAATTTGTGAAAAACAGATTTAGTTGAAAATTAAACTATTAAGTTCTCGGAGGAAGGGGATTGTTCCTAACGCTCTCTCAAATGTGCCACTGAGTCATGACTTTCTACAGAAATTTAGAAGTCTATTTTTTGTTTATTTATTGATGTTTTGTCGTTTTTTCGTTTCTGTTTCAATTTAAAATAAATATACCTTATTGTAGTGATACAGTTTTTTTTTTTTTTGGTTTGTATTTAGCTGAATTAAATACAACGTTATAATAGGTACTAATCGTATTGTATTTAACGTTAAAACTGCCTTTAAAGGTAAACATAATTACTGAACCGTTTGTTATTATAATGAATACTTAACAAACACCACTCTTCGAATAATTATTATTGGCAATGTCACCAACACATATTTTCTATCTCATTAATGATTACAACAGTTGGGTGCATTTTCGATGTACGTATAATATTTTATTGTACCCATGCGTGGATTAGAAAAAATATTATACTTAGAGGACATTTTTTTTTTTTTTTTTTATACATCTATAAACACTAAACTCGAATGGCTCAAATCTGAAATCATANTTCCTAACGCTCTCTCAAATGTGCCACTGAGTCATGACTTTCTACAGAAATTTAGAAGTCTATTTTTTGTTTATTTATTGATGTTTTGTCGTTTTTTCGTTTCTGTTTCAATTTAAAATAAATATACCTTATTGTAGTGATACAGTTTTTTTTTTTTTTTTAACAAATTTATTTCATCTTTAGTATACATCGTTAAATTATACGTTTTCCTTTATTATTGAAAACTAAGTAGAAAGTAATTTTATATTATAAAATAATAATTATGACGACCGTCTTACGCATTACATTTATTGCATTTACCGTTATACAGGTAATAATAAAAAAACGTACAACAAAAGTTGTCTAAAATATTATGTTCTTAGGTAATTAGGCCAGCGTTCGATCAATTTACTCGTAATTAATGTATTCGATTTCATTTTATTCGGGATATGGTTAATATGCAATATTTAAGCTTTTAATATGTTTGACGAATTGGCATAGACGTTTATCTCATTGGTTTTACGAGTTTTGAACGATAATTAGAATATAAAATCGCCTTTGTTTTTTTTTTTTTTTTTTATACATCTATAAACACTAAACTCGAATGGCTCAAATCTGAAATCATAAAATTGATTCGGGTAAGTCAAGAACGACATATTATCAAATAACTAGAAATAATTAAAAATTTATTATAAAATACCAATTTTCTATAACATAGTATTATGCGAATTTCGTTCAATAGTTATCTTTCAAGTGTAGTTGAATACTTAATTTATACAGATATAATATAGCCAGTGACAAGTTAATGTCTTTAAAAATAAAACTGAATAATATTGTAACAATTATTGATTACTATAACGTGATTATTTTTATTTATATTATTGTCCACGAATATTTCGAGTAAAATTTATCACAGGTTTTTTCTGTCATTATAGAATCATTTATCAATCTAATGATACAATTTGCAATATCTTTAAAAGTTTTCACTTATACCGTTCACCGTAAACACAAACGTTTGATTTTCGAATAGCATTCAGCTACGGAGGCGAAAATAGAATATTTGTCTTAAAATTTTATCATAATATTTAACACCTTAGATTGTATTTACCGTTTATTGGTTATAACGGTTATTTAGACCGGAGACGTAAAGGAGATTTGCCGTCTACAAATTATTTAATATCCTTCGCCCTATACGCCTCAGGTCTAAATGTTAAACTGTAATCGCTCATAAACTCTATTGCTCGTCCGATATGACAGTACTATGCATCTAACTAGGCATTTTTCGAAAAAAAATCTTTTACGGGACCCGCGTCGAAAATCGGGTGAGGATTGCTTTAGGGACGTCGAAAGTTGATACCCCTTTAAGGTGTCTGTATTACAACCGCTATGAGAAGTGGGGTGAAAATTCGAAAACAATAATGAAATAAAGCTTGAACAGTGCCGTGCCATAATTGAACGAAACAGAAATCAGACGTATTTGAAATTCCCAGGGGGAAAATCACGATCGAAAACCGCCCGCTTTGTACGCAAGTGCCTACAAGCACAGTGTGCCGTTGTCGTTTTGGCAGGCGGTGCGCGCCCGAACGTGTTGCGGCTGTGACGTGGACTACGAGGGCCAAGACCCGGATATGCTGCTGACGTTGGTCCGGTCGTTGTTGAACAGAGAGTACGGCCACGTTACAAGAGATCAAGGAATGGTCGATCTCGAGTATTTGTCTTCGTCGGATTCGATGTCCGGTTTGCCGGATTCGCTGCAATTGTCTCCGCGTCGAAAGGAGAACGCCACGCGGCCCGATCGGCTGGAGAAGGCCCGGTACGACCTAGGCGTGCAATGCAGCAGCGTGCTGGACGACGAAGTGGTGCACCGCGTGCACAAGGCGTACCTCGAGTACGGTTCGATGTCCGACGAAGGTCACAGGTACGAGACGAACGGGCTAGTGGCCCACGTCGGGTCGAAGCTGACCCCGTACGCGACCGAGCTCCGCAAACAAATGGCCCGGTGTCGAGCGTTCTCCGACCAAACGTCCGGGAGTCTCTTCGACAAAGTTCGATCCATGATTCGGGACCTCGTGAACAAGTACTAAACGCGGAGTTTTGATTTAGATTTTTTTTTTTTTTTATTCTGCAACATGTCTCGTACAGTTGTTTCCAGAAATCAATAAAAACACGATTTGATTCCTTTTGTTTTCTTTTAATTTAAAAGCTTGACGGTTACCTACGGTATTATTTTGTTCATTGTTCGTATTTCGTGTTGAGTTAAAAAAAAAAAAAAAAAAAAACAATTTTTAAATAATTACTACAACCGAAAGACTAGGTATAAACATTTGAAACTAATGTAAATATAACAACAGGGAAAAAGTGCCCTATGCTTAAATGACATAGTAAATGTTTATAAAATCAACATTTTGTATACGTGACAAAATAATTGAATTGGTTTTAATTATTTTACTCGTAATTATTAATTTGTTTTTTCAAAACGAACTGGTTGGTTAAAAAAAAAAAAAAAATATGTTATTTATTTTTCATTAGGTATTATTATTACAACGTCTTTTTTAGTTCACAATTTTGTCTGTTCGATACAAATTTTAAAATCGATTTTAAACAAACGTCCCGATGCGATGGATACATGAAACTTTAAAGGTTTTGCTGAGAACTGGACGACAATGGCAATAACACGTAGACATATATGTACACACGGCAATACCGGTGTGCAATGTATACATTGCATAGTGAATCATTTTCGCTCGTAAATTTGTAATAATATTGTGTTTGCTTATATTGTAAATATAATTCGAAAGGCCACTTAAAAAGAATCTGGCTAAAATTTGGTATATTGAAGTACAAATTTTATATTATAAAATTGATTTTATTTTAATACTATAACTGTCCGTCCTGCGCCCAGCGTTGCCCGTGCAATTTTTTATTCTTTCATTTTTATTCCCGTTTGGCTTTGTCTGTATATTGAACGAAAAAAAATAGTTGGAAAGTAGGTATAGTGAGTGTTCTAGTGTTTCATGCAGTTTTTTATCCTTGTCGCCATAGATACCCACACAGCACAGCGATTAAAATATATAATATTCACTTTAACAACGCTAAAATTATGAAGACATAATTATAGTACTGTATTGTAGTATAATATTATTGTATTATTGTATATAGTGTTGTTACTGTACCAAAAAATACAAAGATTCAAAGATGACGTTTTACGTGTTTTCACTTTTCACCTATCCACCCAGTACGGTTCGTAGTTTTTTACTTTTTTCCATCCGTATTACCAAGGTAACCCATCCTATTTCAAGTCAATAACTTGACCGGTAGACAGTCAGATTGACTTTATATTTTAAGTTGGCATTTTTATTTCTATTTATTATTTTTAGTTTTTTTCATTTTATCCATGTTACTGAGGTACCTACTCCATAATTTAATAAAAATATTTTAACTTTCGTGTCAAAAATACCCAAAAACCTTTCCACTTTTAAGTTTTATTTTCACGATTAAAAGTAGCTTATGTTTTTTCCTCCCAAGTCCCATCTATCTATACCGAAATTCATCAAAAATTGGTTTAGCAATTTAGGCGTGAAAACGTAACAAACAGACTTACATTCATATTTACAGTATTAAGTTAGGATTAGGATTAGTTAGTTAGGATTGACCTAAAAATCTAATAAAATTAATTTTTCTTGTTGTTTTGTTAAAAGATATTTAAAATCGATTGTAAAATTTTACACACACACACACTAACACGCGCGCGCGATGACGACTACAAAGCACAAACAAAAAATAACTAATTAAATAAAAAAAATATATTAAATTAATCTAATCGATATTTGCCTGATTCATTTTTTATTTTATACTTATTCATACCATAGAATTAGTAACTTTTAATTTCATCGGAGTTGCTGGCCTCCATCACCAGGTGTCAGCCCATTTGCTTTTTGTTGTAAATTGCAGTTATATTTATATAATAACGATACATGTTATGAACGCTCATTACCAGATAGCAGTAGTAGCGCAAAACGATTCTTGTCCAAATAAATAAGTCTGCCAGGTCGTGTTTACCATAAATCAGCGGTCTCCAATTGGTGGCCCGTGGACTCCTAGGGGTCCGCTTGTTAATGTTAGGGGCTTTGCGGTTGTGTATAAGACGTATAGGACGATATACACGGGTAACTGAAGGTGGACATGTTCTAAAATTAAAACTACTCGCGTTCTGGAAAACCCGTGATAAGGCAGCTTATGCTCTCTTACAGCGATTCTCAAACTTTTTTGTTCGCGGAGCCCTAAAAATGTTCCTAAAAAAAATTACGGAGCCCCAAAAATCAGAAATGTCTATTTGAGATAACAATAATTCATAAATAATGATGTCAATTGTAAATGATTCGCTTTTTATTTTTATTTTCTGTAAAATACGAATATATACAAATTATTTAATTAATTTAATAAGAAAAAAAAGAACATAATATTTTAGTAATTTATAAATTTTAATATTTAGTGATTTTAATGTGATCCATGATGTTGGATTTTTTTTATTGACCAGTATTTTTATATTTGGCTTGATAGGCGAAAGTTGAATGCGCATATCTGCTTCAGCATCTAATTTATTGCGATATTTAGTTTTCGTTGATGTATATAATGAAAATCCGGTTTCACATAGATATGTTGTTGCAAAAGGAAGAAGTGCTAAGATAGCTTTTTTAGCCAGAGATTAATATTCTTTAGTAATACTGCTACTGCACCAAAAATCTGTTAATGATATTTTATCAAATAAAGTTTTTAAAGACGAATCGGTGGTCATTTCAATAAATTCTTCATACTCCGTTATAGATAAATTTTCGGGCTTATCGTTAATTAAAAACGGATTTTTAACCCAATTATATCGTTGGATAAATTCTATATCTTTACTTTCTGGAAAATATTTTTCTAATGACGATAGTATTTCATTTAAATGTTGTTCAATTTCGCCATGTATTTCATCAAAATCTTCAATATTACCATCAATTGATTCTAAATATTCCTTTAACAAAGGTAAACTATCAATTTTATGTTGAGAAAAACACACAGCTCAAAATTTAATTTTTTTTTTTAAAGCTCGAATTTTGTCATTTGCTGTGAAAACGGTGATCATTTTGCCTTGTATTGATAAGTTCGCTTTATTTAATTTTGTGAAAATATCGGCCAATTAACTGAGTCGAAATAACCAAATTTTATCGGTAAGTCTGAGTTGTAAATTAAATAGGTGATCGGTGAAAAAAACGTACAATTCATTGCGCAATTCAAGTAAGCGTACAAGTGTTTTTCCCCGAGAAAGCCATCTTACTTCGGTATGGTAAAGTAGTGATTTGTGCGTACTTCCCATATCTTCACACAAAATTGTGAACAGTGTTGTGCTCAATGGTCGAGATTTTAGGAAATGTATAATCTTCACTGCCTCATCAAGTACATTTTTATGAGGTATTGGCATCTTTTTAATAGCAAGTGCTTGACGATGAAGAGTGCAAAAAATAAATATTGTTCGCAATAAAAACAATTAATGGTAAAATAGAACACGTAATACGAAATAAACACCGAAATAACAATATTTGCGTAGGCGGCCGATGAATAACGAGTAATGACTGAAAGAATCAAGAAATTATTAGAACTTCGTAGAACGTAGTTCGTACTATTGTAGATAAGTAAACGAAATTGTCGTACAATATGTGAAATGAATGAAAAACCCGACTTTTTATCTAATCTCATTTTAACAACGACACGAAATATGCGGATTTATAAATAGTTTAAAGTTTTAACGGTTTAGAATAATACATATGGGTACGGTCCAAATAATATTGATTATAAAAATAAAAATGTAACTAAGAAATATAATAATAATTTAATAATTTGAATTCAATTAATACAGATATTCCCAGGGAGCCACGGAGCCCCTAGACTACTCTCACAGTTTGAGAACCGCTGCTCTCTTACATCAAATATCACTGTTTACCTTTATTAAGGTTTAATAAATTATTATTGCCTGCGCGTTCGAGAATGTTTAAGAACACTATCACGATGCCCGAATATTTTCGAACTCCTGAAATATTCAAATCATGAAATTTCATTCCTACTGACTTAATAAGTTGCCTACACAATACCTAAAAATTAATTTTTAAATTTCTAATTTTAATAATAACAATTTTTTTTAAAAGGAAATTCTACTGGGGAGTTTCTTTAGAGAGGTTATTTTACAATTTTCTCAGCTTTTTTAGCAAATGTGAAAAACTGGGAAAAAACATAAGAAAACCGGAAAAAAGGTAGGAAAAATCAGAGAAATCGGTACAACATTAAACAAATATCATTAAAGAAAATATATATATTATAGAGTATATATATTTAAATATTTAAATATTTTACTATAATATGGCATATATATATTGTTGACAAAGCATCACTATCAACTGTACTTCGCTCAGAATAGTTTTTTTCGTATCGCTGGTTACAGGTATACATTAAATTACCTATAACAGTGGCTGCACCCATCCCTATTATCCTATGATGACTTTTTTATTTATTGAGATATAACTATAAAAAATAGCAGTGCTGGTAGTTTCTCATTTTTAGTCACTTATTTTGTATTAATCATATTTATTTATTTTTTATAATTATGGGATCTTTTTTTAGTACTATCTGTCAGAAAAATATAATCAATTCTTTCAAGGTATAATATGGACAGATTGGAGCTCTTTTGCTTACTTAAAAACTGATCAGAGAAAAAACTTTTTTAATACTAGGTATCTTACTTACCGATGTTAAAACAAATAGGTATTTTGTTACACTTGAAATTTTAAATCGTACAAATTTCATATAGGTAGCTGTTGCCTATTAATAACTAGAAAAAACTTTAGAATATTTTGAAGATTGTACCACATTTAGAAAGTGTTAATATAAGAATTCGAAGAAAGTTTTTGGTTTTCGATAATTTTTAACTGAATAACAATAAAAATATACAAAATACATGAAAAATATTCCCGCTTTTTTGTCAATATTGAGAAAACTGCATGGAAAATAAAAAAAGATCACGATTATATACTTTAAAAATCCAAACACGTTTTCCAACTTTCAGTGAGAAAGCGTTTTTCTTTTTTTTTACACGAAGCAATGGACGTTCGACGTTTATAATATTTATACTCGTTTTACAAACCTGCAATTTGGACGATTCAATAGTTAATTTCTCGTTAAAATTTTCCCGATACTGTTCCCGTTCAAACTAAAATACGTACAGAATCAATACAATTTTATAACCCATCAGCAATATTCACAAATCTTTTTTTAACTCTTATGACGTTATTATTTTGTCTCCATACTGATTGCCAACGTATAATTAATACGTATACGTTAATCCGTATATTTCGTAAGTAAACATAATTGCTGCCTATACAGTTCATCCTAATGATAAAATTTGACGAATTGTCAATTTGAATAAATATTTCACGGACAAATATTTTTTAACTCGTTAGTGAATTACAGCTGTGCAAGTAGATTTTTAATTAACGCAATATTGTTGCACAAATATCGATTGGAAAAGTATTTAACAGAGATTTTATTTGTAAAAATTTTATTTCATCTCTAATAGGTATAGATATTTTTATACGTTTAACGAGAAAGTAAATTCACAATATTCAAAATGATGATGTCTATTGTCTTGCGTTGTGCATTCGTTGCGTTTGCAGTAATACAGGTAATCATAATTTATTATTCATAAACATAGGTATTTCGAACTATTTTCGACAAAATTTTTATTTTGTACATTTTAACAAAATTACCATTTTTTTAAAAAGTCGATTTGTTAACCATGATAAAACTGTGTCATAAGCAATTTATTTTACAAACATAATGCAACTAGTTGTAATAAAATAAAACCATAAATTAAAATGTATTATTACGAAATTAAAAAATATTTTAATAGTCAGCTATTATAGGTATTACTGTATTAGTTTATTGCTAATTTTATCAATATTTACTCATATTTTATGTCATTATTGGCCGGTTACCATATTGTTACTTATCTAGAAAAAAAATGTACTTATATACAAATATTATATAAACTAATAACAAAATAATTGAAAAAATATATTTTGTTCGTTTATTTTTTAAACATAATATTGATTTAAAAGAAATCATATTTTATATCTTGTCGTAATTCAGCATCATTAATTTTTACATGTTTTTACATTGTACGGTGGTCGTATTATTAGCACGGTGGATAATATTATCTACCGTGATTATTATCATTTATCCCCTATGTTCTATTTATATTGTTATTGTTAATTAAAATAAGCTAAAATATCTCAAATAGCTTACCAATTTTCAATAATAAAGACAACATTATATTATATATTAATTTCGCTTTTACATTGATAATTATTTAATAGTTCTTTTAATATCCGTTTGGCGAATCAATATGCAATGATGTTATTACTTGTTGATACGTTACGAGTGTATATTCTTCGGGTATAAAAGTGACACTATCGTGATAGTCTGATACAATACACGGCCATGAATTTTCGACGGGAGAGAATGTTGTAAATAATAGTCACGATTTACGGTTATATCGTAGAATCTTTTTCTTTTATACCCAACTTGACAATAATAATAAATTAGAAGTCGGATCCAAAAAAGCCGATTTGTATGCAATAAACCGAGCATTTTCCATGTAAATTGACTAATATACATAATTTCAAGAAATTTAGAGTTTAAAATTATTAAAGAAACACTCATAGTTGTTGTATTTTTGAGCCAAAGTAGGAAACAGAGCAAATAACCTTTAATTTCTTTTTCTGCAGCTAGTTTAATATTTGGATAAAATATCATATCTTTGATTCTAGGGAAGAGGGCTAAATCAATTTTTTTTTTTTTCATAAATTTATACAATGCGACTTCCCTTAATTTTTATTTAAATTGTATTAGTTAAACCATTAAAAGTGTATGTATTTACAAAACTTAATTTACACGAGCATCTAAAGACAGCCCAAATGAGCAGTAATTATCTTATAATATATTATGCATACTGGGTGCGTATTTGTATTCAAGATTTAAACAGATGAGTATTATCAAAAGTAAGCATTTTATTTGTACATTTGTAAGTAGGTACTTATCTAAGTGTTACTGATAAAGCGATGAATTGAGAATACAATTTTAAAATAAATCAATATATGATCATATATGATCATCAATATCCAATTCAAAATAAATAAGTAATAATATTAGATAATATAATAATAATTAATAAATAATATTATTTAAGATATTAATATAATTTGAATATTTAATAAAATAACACTATATAGGTATTTATATTAAAAGATAATATGTACATTTAAATAAACGTGTAAAAATATTTATATAGTGAACATTAGGTGGGTACCTACAATTTGTATTCGCATGGATGAACGACCGGATTGGTTTTATCTAACCTAACCTAAATATGCCAGATGAAGTGATCTTTGCTAGTGATGGATACTAGGGTGGTTATATTAAGAGATAATTTTGAGATAGTGACTGATAATTTGAGAGATTATTTATGTTTTTTTTTTTTTTGTATTTAAGATTGACCTAAGCTCAATCAAGGGGTCTGAGTTTAGTACGAGCTGAAAGGCCTCTCCATGATCCAGTAACCTAATGTGCATATGATCGAAGCACAAACTGGAGTTTTTGAAGAATAAAGACGCAACTTGGTTTGTGATGACAATGCGTATTCTTGTTAGGCCGGTGGAAGATAAAGTGGTTTGATTCCTGACTTAGGTGGGGAGACGTAGGTCTGGACTGCCTCCAGTCTCTACTACTGCGTGTCGGTAATTAGGGATGCCTAAGTCGTCCCAGCGCACGTTAAGATAGAGCAGACATACATCTTGAGAAGTATCCTAGTACTGATGGCACTAGACTGCGTCGATTTAGAATCGAGTAGAGTTGTTGTAGGTGTATGTCCCGAGTTCGTGTTGCATTTTTAATTCTATTGTTGATGTGGAGTTTAGTGAGCGATCGATTGTTAAGTGTAGGTGTTTGAAGTAGTTGGAACATCGTAAAATAGTGCAGTTTAATGGTAGTTGCAGGAGGTACTTACAAAAACCAGATAACAGATAACTTAAAGGCCAAATAAGAATATCCTTAGGTCCACATGGACAATAAATAAAATAATACTACTAATAAATACATAGTACATACATACCGCATAGGTTCATGCATATATGGACATAAGGGGATTCTTCTTTGGCTTTTATGTCATCTATTATCTGATTTCGAACACTTAATGTTGACTTATTTAATCACTGTTCCACTGAAACTTTTAATCACAGTTCGTTTTGTTTAAAACTCTACAAAATTTAATTAGGCCTTTTTCCCCGGAACCAAAGATTTATAAATTACAGATTTAATTTGTTTGTAGTTCCGATTTACATTTCGAAAATATAGAGTAATTTTGTTGTTTTGTTAGGTGGCACGTGCTCGAAAATATTGTAACTGCGACATAGAATACGAGGGCCAAGATCCGGAATTGCTGTTGACCTCGACTAAGGCGTCGTTAAACAAGGACTATAATTCCGCCAAAAAAAATCTTGAAAATGTCAATTGTGACGTTTCGAAACTTGAGGAAAAGTCTAAAATGCTCAATAATCTCGAGGATGCCCGGTACAAATTGGACAAGAAAATAAGTGATTTGGATGACGAGGTTCTGCACCGCATGCACAAGGCGTATCTCAAATACGGATCGACGTCCGACTCAGGTTACCAAATTGAGATGGATCAAATAAGGTCCGACGTCGAGTCGAAGCTGACTTCGTACGCGAATCAGTTTCACCATACGACAGCTGAATGCAAAAAGTTTACAGACAATGCAAAAAAAAGCGCTCCAGCTGAGAAGAATTCATGGTTCGGGATTTTGTAATGTTCTGCATGTTGTTTTGTAGTTATAAAAAAATAATAAAATATGATTCGATTATTTTAAAAACTTTTTTTTAACTTCACCCATTGGTATTTGGTAGTATATTCAGACTAGCATATTGTTCAGTCGGTATAATGGTAATCAATATGACGTATTCTTAATCAATTTACTAATTTATTTTTAATATATTTTAAATACATTCTTGGTAAATACAATTTGAATTACTTTGTCTGATAATTTGTCTTTTCTCATTATACTGTAATTTTCGTTATCATCACCAACCCTTCCCCCCAAAAGAAAACTACGACACTGTTCCCCTCTAAATATTATTATAACTTCATCTTCATAAATACTGGGTTAAGATTACTTATAATGGAATTCCTAAAATATTCTTTAAAATATTTAGATTTCAATACGTACACCATAACATACCAGGAAAATTAGTCAAACCGTCAGTTACATAAAAATAATGTTCTCGTTTGAAAAACTTGTATTTACTTACCTAAAATGAAATCATTAACTATATAGATGGTTTATAATATACGGCTTTTGCAGGCATTTCTTCTATCACAACAAATGTACGATCTAAATAGTCTACACTATAATGTTTAATACAGTATTATACATTATACAATATAGTACCTATAATATATCCTATAATTAGGCGTGTGCAAAATTTGTCTGCATGGTGTGTGTCATAAGGAATATGGGCTATTAGTCCTTAAATGGGCCTTACACCCCTATCTAAAATAGATGACAGTAAATGCAAAAGCCCAGAATGAGTAAATCATGTTATAATGATTAACAATGATAATGACACGTGAATACAGATTTATCAAATTTACGGTTTTATAGAAACTAATGTTAATTTCACGTGAATATGTAGTGTTGTGTACACGTGAAATAGTTAGCTCTTGTTTATATTACAATGTAGGTATTAGAGGCCCGCGCAGGCCGTCGATTCCGGGGTTAAGAAAAAAAAGCAAGTGAAAATAAGCATATGGAAAAAAATTCATCCCCAGTATCAGCTCTTTTTAAAATTATCATCATTAACTCAATTGAAAAAAAAAACACTCAAAAGCTCCGTCATTATAATAATATAATTAATAATACAACACTACATTATTAATATTATAATAAATTATACTATCTCCAAAAAAATTCAACAATTTGTTCATGAAAGTGACAGGGGCTGAGATTGAAAGTTCAAACCCTCAAAAGACATATTCTTAATACTAACGCTACGGGTATACACAATTTCATCGTCCCCCAATTTCATTTGGGAACTCAGTAGGAATGAACAAAACTAAAAAATACATTATTTTCGCAAAAAACATGGTGAAATTGTGAAATTAATATCAAAATCCAATCCAAATGTTATCACTTCAATCCGCTTATAAAACAACTCTAATTCCCGTGTTTGAGCACACGTGGCCAAAAGAGTGGCGCTAGAAATGTTTATAAGTAGCTGTCTAAATATATATGCCTATTATATATATTATAAATTGTATATTGTATAATGTACCTATATAATAAAATATTATAACCGACACAATAGTATCTATTTTCAGGGGAAATTTAACAAAAACAAATTTTAAAAAAAATCAGACAATTTCCTAAAGGCGTCTATTTTGATATGTAATGATAATAAAATGCCAGATGCGTATGTCCGTCTAATAATTATATTTGGAACATAAATTGTAGCGTTAAGATTGAATTCGGAGTTTAAATACAAATAACAATACACAAAGAAGAGGACATTTTCGATGACGTTTCATGCTTTTTTGAACGCTCGAGCATATCTTATACATTTTAAATAAATACATATTTTCCTACGTAGGATACTTACATATATTTCAGATTCCATGGTATCATTCAGTGTCTTTTTAAATTAAATTTTTTTTTTTTTTAATTTATACAAATTTTTTATTATTGTAGCTATGCATAATGTAATGTACTATTATTCTATATGACTTATTATATAATATACCTATAATAATATAATGTACCTATTGAATTTTTAAAAATAAATAATTATAAATTATAAATCGTAATCGTATAAATCAAAAATTCCTTTTTTCCAATTGTTCTTATTTTGAGCCAAAAATATTTCGATAATTTATTTTTTCCATTTACTTGCTTTTTTTTATTTGCCTTTTTATATTACTTTTGTTCACTTGTTTTTTCCTTAAATTCGACAATCCCTGGCCCGGTTTGGCCCGGCTACGTATTTCCGGACCCTAGTTCAGTTCAGTGCAGTAGGCGATGTTTAAACCGAAATTACGAACCCTACGCCAGTTCAGAGCTTTGCGCTGAATCGTAAAAAGGTTTGTAATGAATATCATTTTTACGACTTATAATGAACTTCCTGTTAAATTTTCAAACATTTCTGTTTGGTATAATAATTGTATTCACAGAGTACGTACCGAATAAATATTACATAGTAAAAACTCGCGAAATTGAAATGATTTCTAAAGCTCAAATGTTTTGATAATTTTACCATGTATATAAAAAAAAAATATAAAGTTGCTGTACAAATGTTAAGATTCTACAAACATTTTAAACTGAATTGCAACAAAACAAAAAGACAAAATTTAAAACTCTTAAAGCATTATTTTCGTAAATTTTCCCAATTTTGTGTTTGTGCAAAAGGGCTCAAGTCCAAAAACTTTTTTACATTCAGAACAATATTGACTTGATCATTTTTTCACAAACTAAATTTAATTAGGTATCACGACTTGTGACAAAATATGAATAACTTGATATTGTATGGAGGAAAAGTCCCTCCCTATGGGTTACGCTGAGTTAAATGTTTGCAAGAAACGATATTTTTTTTTTTTATAAAGTCTTACATAACATTATGATGGCCGTATTAATATTATTATATTTATTTTGTACGATCTTGTACGACAATAAGGAGTAAAACAGGCAAAGTATTCACAAATTCGAAGTGCACTGATAAAAAATTGTTCGCCAGTTAATGTGTGACAGTAATGTTGTCGTTTATAATATTATTTGCTGATATGCTATTATATATCGTGTCACCTCGTGATAATAATTATTATCTATTCGTACTGCTGAGTAGTTGTATGCGGCCATACATTAGACGTGGGTTTCAAACCAGTCGCGTACCAACCCACCGCGTACTTCCGACGCGGGTAACTACTGCACTCGGTGTCTCACGCGAACATGTCAATAGAAATTTACATATCGATGGCGTAGCGCACAAGTGTGATAAGTGACATTTCCGCTATTTTACAAGAACGTCGTTTTAAAGTTTGTATAACTGTATTAATTCAAAAACTCAAATTTGCCGTAATAATATTAATATAATAACATAGTAACATTTTTTAGATTCACGTATATTCGACATATTATGTATAAGTGTGTACCTAAATTATTTTAAATTCGTTTATATGTGTTTAGGTGACTGAAATCAATGATGTTCGCGACAAAATGTTGTCTGGGATGTCTAGACCCGCGATATGGTGCCCGGGTAGTGGCCGTGTTCGACTTTGTGAGTACACGTTGTTTTTGATTGATTTTTTTGTTTTTTGAAACTGATTCCCGAAAACTCGAAAAACTAAATGATTATCTGACTATCCGATTATGAATTATAATATCTGTAGCTTGGTGTAATAAGGGCCAAAGTCAAAAACAAAAAAATGCATTACAATATTTATGGACATAACGTTAGATTTTTAAAAATCGTCTTCTCTTTCGCCTTCATCCCAACTATTTTATGTCGACCACCCACGGCCTAAGCTTTCAGTTGACCTGATATCTCATCTCACGTATGGTCCTTATATCATTCTCAATTACATCCAACCACCCTGTTTTTTTTTTTGGTCTTTGGCTACTCATTCATTCTACGTTTATTTTCATTAGGCAGGGCGAGCGTGTCCCGAGACCCGAACTCTGTGCCTTTCACTACAGTCGGCGGGCCCCGCGTGGCCGCGTTTTATAAAAAATATAATAAAAAATTATAGTTAATAATGTCGATAATAAACGACTGCTAACTGAATTTAGTTCTTGTAAGCAAATTTGAGTCCGTTGAAAAAACGGAGTGAATATGGGAAAATGTGTGAAATGTAGATATTAGTAAAACAATATTAGGGCTTTTTTTTACCTATGAACAACTTTTCTACTAGCAAGTTTGCTCAGATTTACCACAATAGCACTTTTTCTGAAAAAAAAATCTGCCTGGGTGGTTCTTTAAGGAGGTTATTTTTTTATTTTCCTAGCTGTTTTCATAATAAATAAGAAAAAAACACGAGAAAAAATGTAGAAATAACGGGAAAATTGGTACAATGTTAAATAAATATTTTTAAAGAAAATATTTAATGCCTATGTAATTATTTTACCATAATATGACATATATTGTTGACAAATCACTTTTCAATTTTGAATCTTCAAGTAATCACAGCTTAATATTAATGATAAATGATCTCATCAAATAAAATGAAAATTAAAATAACTGTTTTGTTCATAGAAGACCTACCTATAATTTGTATAACTTGTACATTAACTTTATTGAGTTGTTTTGAATACATTGGTTCATTGATAACTTTTAAAATATATAGGTATTATGAATAATATATATCAATTTTTTGTTTTTTCAGTGGATTGGTGTGATACTTCTTATCAAATTCCTTTCGTTACTAAATCCATTTTATGGTAAGTGCATGAGTGAGTTTGATGGAAAATAATGTTCTTTCAAAAATAAATAATATGTTACTTATCAGCTATCATATATTTTCGTGGTACCTACCTAAATACGTTTGGTGAGACTATTTCAATTATAATAAAGTTGAATATGATTTTATAATATTAGAGTTCAAAATCCAAAATTCAAATCTAGATTTTATTTACAAAATATTTTTGAAAAGACAACTATTTACAAAAATATCTAAAAAATTTTCCATTTTTTCAAGGCCCCATCCGTAATAGATGTACAGGTACTCAGTGAATAAAACCGTTATAATATTACGACTCATAATAAACGCCTTTCAAAATATGTAGAAATAAACTTCGCTCTTAATCGTTTTTCGTCAGTCTTGGTTTATCTTTGCGTACAGATATAAATTAATTTCCCCTCAATATCCTACCTTCCCAACTTCTCACCTACAACAGTGGCTGCACCCGTCCCCATTATCTTATCTTTTTTTTTTTCTTGGATGTCAATTTAAATAATCAATTGTCGAAAAATTAATCTAATTTGCGTTACTTAAATATTTCGCCCACCCATCTTTCTTGCGAAATATGTCTCTATAATCATTATATTTCCCGAACCCGATAAACCGATTAAACTTCCCTCTTCATACCACTCTATCAGCTTGTTATTTGTTTTTCAAAGCTCTGTGAGAAGCTTTTCCTTAAACTTAAACGTATTATGTATACTCATTGACAAGCAGAAAACCCCCAACTCACAGTTTGGACTCCGCAACTTTCATTCGACTGTCCACCAAAGCCATCGATTAGTCATACTGGAATTTATTTCGTACTGGGGGAAAAATTATACTACCCTGCAGTATAATGCAGTTAATGCAGTAAATGTAGTATATTGCATTCGGATGCTTGAATTCGTAGAAAAGCTGAAATTTTTATTTCTTCCTCCTTACGATTTATTCCTCAAGCCATGTCTTGAAAATCGTCATTTCGTTTCAGAAGTGGGTGTCGAAATTGTTACTGTTTCACTAATTCTCGCCAGAGTTCTTAAAAGAGTTATTCTTTTGTCTGTTTTTTTAAAAATATTTCTTCAACTGACAAACCTATTTCTCCGGGTACACCCGTAACCGAATACGTTGATGGCAAGGCATATTAATCTCCCATAATGATCCAGTTGTAGTCACCAATATCCTCCAAAACCACCTTAATCTATTGAACGCTTAGTAAACCAATTGGATAATTAAAATTAATACCTCCGAATCAGTCAACGTGACGTTTACCCTTTCGCAAAGGTATCTTTTCTCTCGTTTTCTTTAAAAACTTCATTATTCCCTCTGCTTCTAACGTCTATTACTTAGGTATGTTCTTGAACAAGCGGCTCACTTAGAAACACTATATCAAAATCAAATGTTCTCGCTCAACAATATACGTAGGTGCCTCCATTTCCTTCTTAACAAGAAGTCACGGCTTTGCCTTAATAGCAAATTGCTTTTGTAAAACACTGGTAGCCCCATCTGGGCTTACGGTATTCAGTTGTAGGAGGCTGCCAAATAAATGGTAAGGAGTAATCGAAGGTATACTTATAGCGCTTTTTATTTTATACCAAATAATAATTCGAATAACGTAAACATCAATTTTATTCAATCCGTCACAAGACTTATTATTGCTAATTCCGTTATAGCGTCTGGATGATGATTCATTACTACTTTCCTGGATGCCGGTTTTTCAGATTTTCTCCAATTTTGAAAATTTTTAATATGATGTATACAATTTAAATTAGTATTTTAAAGATACGAATTTATTCATTGGTCTACTACCGGGGAAACGTGGCCGTTTTTACTAACAAAAGGTTAAATTAAAATTAGATAGGCGTGAGCCTAGTCGGCCTATCTGTAAAAATTCGTTACTTGATTAATTATATATTAAATGTACTAATTTGAATTTAAATTTGTTAAACAATTTTAAATAAAAAAAAACAACTTTTTTGCAATTTAATATATCCAATAAAAACAACAAAATTCTTTTAATTTTTTTAAAATAGTTCGTTAATTATCATATCACTAGAAATAAAATCACTAGCATCCGGTTACACAAGGTAAGGCTTGGGTTGTTATTCAAATTCCGATATAATATATAAATTATGTAGATAAATATTTCCGTAATACAAATGGAAAAGATTAAAACCAAATTGATTAATTTTGTCTTTACTATTTGTGGATATTATATTGAAGTGGTTTTAAATTACATCGTTTTGCATTTTATGTTATTTTTTGTTTTTCGATATTTTATTTCTTTTATTTTACGTTCACCGTTTAATAAAGTTTCAAAATTCAATCACTTTTTGTGAAGTATAATGTTTTAATCATTATTATAACGTTTGCAAACTCTGTTTATTAGTTTTATATACATTTTAAGAGTATTTTTATTCAGATTTTCATAGTTCACTTTTAAAATATTTTGTCCTACTTTAGATACAAATTTTAAAATGATATACTGATCCGTTTTGTCCCCGGGAACAAATTGATCAAATGGGAACTTTGATCGATTTAAAAAAAAATGTTTTTTTCAAAACTAATGAAATAGTCCAGTTACCATAAAAATAGGTTTATTAATTTCACTGTATTGATTATAATTATTTGTCGCGAAAAATTTTATTGATATGAAAAATAGATAGGTAGGTACTTAATGATTCATAGTATTCTAAATTCACTGTAACTTGTTGAAAGCTGAACGATTTATCCAAATCTCAATTCTCCTTATCTTGTAGTATCACACGTTATTAATTTAAATTAATAAGTATATTTTAAGTATTTTACAACACCGATGTATGTGCTACACTATAGTGCATATATACCACCATAATTTAAAAATTGGAGATGTTATTAAAAAAAGAAAGAAGTTTGGTGTGAAAACAAGAGAGAAAAATGATTCTTGTATTAATTTGGTAATTTTTGAATACAAATTAGATTTTCGAAAAAAAAAAAACATCTGCAGAGTAAACTTAACGAAAAAAATTTACCAATAAAAATCGAAAATTAAGATTTCTGGCAGAAAAGTAAATTACTGACAAAAAAAATACCAAACAAAAAACAGTATAATAAAACCAATACAGCAATACATTCCTCGCAGCATGTTGCTCATAGCAGGACAACTGTTTTAGATGGAAATTTGAGAGGGTGTATATAATATACGGGGTGATCTATCGTAAGACACTTTTTATCTCGTAAAATGTTAACTTTTTTCGAAATTTGTCTTTAAAAACAATTAAGAAACAAGCTGTTCTAAAATTTTACATTTACATTATTTCCTGTGACCCTAATTTTTTGGGGGGAAACGATTACCTACTTTTAATTTTCAAATGGCAACTTATATTAAAAATTCCATAAATTGATGGAGTAGCAGTTAAAATAAATTTTGGTTGTTAACTTCATAATTTCCGTCAATCCGTTGATGAGATATTCCACTTTTGAGTTTTTGTGTCTGGGGAAAGTGAATGAAACATCATTTGTGTGGCGATACAGCGCGCGATGTTTTAAGAATGTACCACTACTCTTCCCTGACACAAACTTAAAAGTAGAATATCTCTTTAACGGATAATGTATAGAGGGAATTTAATCCACGTACTGTGGATTAAATAATTATAATAATAATAATTTCAAAGAAAAACCGATTTTGAGCGAAGTTCGGTTAACCATTTGTTGATAAATTGAAAAAAGATGTTAATTTCTAATATATAAATATGAATAAAAAAATTCAAATTATTAATGTTTTTAATGAATTTTATCATACAATGTGCTAAACTTGCTAAAATAGTATCATCTAATTGAACTTAAAAGTAAAGAAACAAGGACAATTTAATATCTTATGGGAAAATATCGTCCTGTATATTAGAACAGTGTTTCAATTTAATCGTATTAATATTTTTTTTTTTTTTTAGACTATGAATTTTACATTTACAACACACGCATGGAACAGATACCATATGATTTTACTGTGTTCACATATTTGTTTCAAATATTTTTATTTCTTTGCATCAATTTCTATCTAAACGAATCTACATACGATGTAAGTTAATTTTTAAATATGTATATTTGTAATTATTGTTTTTTAGTAAATCTCAGGCTCGTCTCTGAGGGGAAGGTGAATGGGACGACGCTCCTTCATCCCTTCCCTGTGCGCTGTATGAGGTTCAATATTTGTATCACAGAATATCTTTTATCAATAATTCTTAAATCCTAATTTCGAAAATAAAAAATTCTAATCAAATATTTTAATATTTAGCCTCTTCCCCATGGAATTGATTTGAAGACAACCCTGGTGTATCTGTCATACATACTTATATACGTTACGGTGAAAGACGTAAATGTGGTAAAAGACGTCATTGACCGGGAAATGACGTACCTAATTTCCCTGAACATTTTCCTTGGTAAATGTTGTAATTGTAGAAATTTCTAGGTTATTGACGTTAATTACCAAGTTTTTTGATTAATGTTGTTATATGTATGTAATATATTTTTTGTATAAATATTTTGTTTTTGTTTATTAGTGAAATATTATCATTATTATTGAAAAATTATTTATTTGTGCAGTTAGTACTGCTGTGACGTTTTGAATTGTACAACATTGCAGACGCATAGCAAACACACTTTTTTAATGCTACAACCATTTTTGCATGCATTGTATGTGGTTCAAACATTTAAACAGGTACTTATTATTTCATTTAATAAATTAAATTCAAATTGTATTTCATAATTTATACATGACATCTTGCGTGTTGAAACGTTAATACACAAGAGCCCGAATTTCTTCGTGTAATGAGAAATTCATAGACTTCGATGAAGCAACGGAAAAAATTAAAAAAAAAAAAAGGAAATAACTATTATTGAATCCGCAGGATAGGGAGTACCTGTACATCAAGTGTACACAAAACGTAACTGGAAAAGTGGTTGTGGCACTAAAAAAAGTGCTTGCTATGCAGCTGAAATGTTGAGCAATTCAAAATATCACAAACAGGACTAAGTGTAAAAATAAATAATTTATAATAACAATGGCAATATTTTACTAATAAACGAAAACAGATTATTTAAAAAAAAAAAAAAAGCGATTATATTGATTCTATAACCATCATTAACTAACAAATGTGATAAACGACTACGTTATTAACCGGTGGATGATATGAATTCGAGTTTAAAACGCAGTTTTTTTTACAATATTTACCTACATAATTGAATATTTCGATAAATTACGACATCGACCGGGAAATTACGTCAATTGCCATTTGAAGTCTTTCATCGTAACATAAACATACATTGTATGATACAAAATTGAACATGTATGTCAGCTATTATACTTGATGATATTTTTTCTCTAATTATCCGCAGATATAGATTATACATATAATTTGTGTACCATAAAACTTGTTTAGCTATTATGTGTTATCTGTTTAGTGATTGAAACAATCCAATTAGACAATGCGTACAAATTAAATATCAATTCTAAATAAATAACCGCAGTGTATTTGTTTGGGGTGGAAGTGGGGATGTCGGTGCCCTGACAATATTCTCGCTTAGATATTACCGTATCATAAACTCTTTGCCTCGCTACACATTCATCTAAATCGGAGGGAACTTCCGGGATACCCCTAATCCCAAATACGTCAATGTACAGGCGAATAATATGATGTGTCAATAGTATTTTTACCTGTATTTGTTTTTTTTCAACATTATTGAACATGTTTTAATATTGTAAAACAAAACAATTTTCAGTACAAGGTTCATAAAATCTATCAGTGGTTAGCGCTCAACATGATATTCCTAACGTTCCATATTCTGGCTGTCACTTATATTACGATCAAGAATAATGATTGTTTAGAGATACTTTATTACTCCATACCTATATGCGGTACGTATACCTACATCAAATACACAGGTACAATAAATATAAACCGAAAATAAGCCTTGAAAATAGATCGTTTGTCAAGTGATTATTGTAAATAATACCTATATTGTTAAATGTATACGTAGTAATATGACTACTTGCGATTGAGTGTCTATTAAGTAAATAATCTAGTGAGTGCCTGTGTGTCTGTGTGTGTGTGTGAGAGAGAGAGAGAGAGTGTGTGTGTGTACTGTGTGTAAGTGCGTACAGTGTGAGTTGGTAGTTTTTTTAACACCAAATAATTCGAATAACGTAAACATTAATTCAATCCATCATAAAACTAAACATTACAATGTTTACAATAATGATCCACTATTGCCTATTCCGTTACAGTGTCTGCATGATGATTCACTGCTACTTTCCTACCAGCAAAATAAGAATCTCACCAATAAAACGGGTCGATGTAAATTAAAAATATCATCACCAATTTACAACTACTAACATGGTGTATTTAAAAATTTATTTATCGATTTATTAAAGGGCCCGTTGCCGGTTTTTCAAATTTTTTCCAATTTAAAAAAAAAATTTAAAAACTATGTACACAATTTCAATTACCACCTTGAAGAAAAGATTTTTTCACTGATCTACTACCCGATAGTCATTTAGAGAGATGGGGTGTGGCTGCTTTTACTGACAAAAATAGCTTTACGGGAATGACGATAACTCATTGTTAACATAATATTTGTCTGGCATTTAGTTTTTATTGATTGTAAACAACATTCTACAATTCAACAATATTCTACAATTCGCACTGAATTTTGATTTACAATAATGGTAAAAGTAGTTAGTAAGAAAAAAAAAAATGGAAAATTGACATTTTTTCAAAGACATCCTATAGAGTTTATAATAAAAACATTGAAAAACAGAGTTAAATGTGAGCTGTATAACGTCATCATCTTTCCGACTATAAAAACAATCATTGAATTCGGACCCCTCTGCTAGACACGATTTTTTCCCGTAATGCATGTTTTTGTATCAAAAGGCGCGCCCGGGCCTCTTAATAAAAATCACCACTCGAAAGTCAAAAGTTGTCAGTGGATTCATCGTCAAAAATAAATACGAATAGGGTAGTATACAATTTGTAACGTTATTGCGGTCATCTTAAAATTTCGCGGTTTTTCAGACAAAAAGGAATATCGTGTGTCGATAATACTATAATTAATCAACTATACAATAATAATGTTATAATTGTAGTGACCCACGTGTGTCAGATACACGTGGTCAAGTGCTTTTACGACAATCGGATGCACTTTGAGGGCCCGACACTGTGCTCGTCGCACGCATCACAGACGGCCAACGGCGATGGCCGAGGAGGCTGCGGCAACGATGCCGGCACGATGGCCGTAGCGACGTCACCGCCGATGTCTCCACCGCCGGCCTACCGCATCCAGCAGCGAGTCACGGTCGAAGCAGCCGCCGCGGCACAGTGTCGTCCGTATACGCATACGACGACGGAATTTCAGCCGCCCGCTCTACCGGAGCAATTATCACGCATTCCGGATGAATATTACGCGAATCCTCCAGCGTACTCGCCGAATTACACTGGCCCGTCCGACAGTCGACCGATATGAAATTGATAATATTGTATTTTTTTTAATTTGTTATTTTATAGTCTAACGAAATCGGTATAATATTATAGACGCACCTCTATAATATAAACGCGAGAAAGTTCCGCACACGTTAAATACAAATGATATTACCCAATAAGATTATGTTATAAAAAAGACGTCCGTTAATTTGTATTGATCTCGTATGACGGATGCCGGACTGAGAAGTAAAAATTACCAGGTCTGAGATATGCTTTTGAGTGGCCTGATTTTCAATTGAGTAATATTATCCTTAAATCATTTGAATAACACGGGGGGTTTTTTTTTTTTTTTTAGTCAGATTACAAATAGCAAAATAGGTTTCACTAAATTAGAAAAAATTAAAAAAAACTCAATCGATTGATACAATCCTTAAATCATTTAATATATTTTCGACCTCCGCCGTGAATAGCGTCTAAATTCATAATTATTATTGATAAACATCATTATTACCCCGTTTTCTATACTAGGTATCATTTATTATGATTTCGTTATTTTATTACATAGTTTTTAGTATTTTATGACATAAGTATAATATTATAAGTATTTTTATCAGTCATAAAACATAAAATTTATCGTGGCCCACTGAACTTTACTCGGTTACTCGTCGGTGCAGTCAAATCCCGCGTATAAATTGAAAGAGCTGATACTGTTGACGGTTAGTAAAAGGAGGAGTGCCGACAGGTGAATCATCCCACTCCGTCCCATAAGCTGTGTTTCTTTACAATTTTATGTTTATTTTTTATTGATGTTAACAACTAAGGAAAAAGTAAGTACGTTTTAGGCTGGGGCTGTTTGAAGATTGAGATCAGTCCGGTGTTAGTACGATAGGTAAGCGATAAGTACTGATGCGGAAAATATCGCTATGCCGTGTGCAGGTTCATACCATGCCCCCTGCGCGTTTATATAAACGTGAATACCTATATGAACATTGCCATTAATATTGTATTAATATGATATTCAATATTTCAATTAATAATTACGACTTTCAATTGTATTATTTATATTGAGTTGTATGCGATATGGATTAAATATGTTATTAATTTATTAATTTTATTTTTATTATCTTTTAAGTTTAAATATGACATATACATGTAGGGTAATTTAGATTATGTCTGTAAACAACGATAAACAATTGCTAACCAAAAACGATTCTGTTTAAAGTTCGGTTAAACATGATTTGATAAACACAAATATTGATAATTCTATTAAATTGTGACTACAGAATAAATTACAATTGTAGCAGTTCTATGATGAGCATCGTATAAGTATCGACGTATTTTAACAAAACCAACCCCTTGCACAGTATAGGTATTATTATAGTATTGGTGAATATTGCACTGTGTTTTTTTACCTTTGCCCAAACGACCAGTTTGTGCAAAAGTAATCAAAAACATTTGGTTTGCCCAAAAAATAAATAGTCCGTTTTGGTGAATAAAATTATTTTTGCTTGGGTGAGATAATAACCTGGTAACTTTATTGCGGACGATATTGTTACTAATCATTATTATTATTATTGAAAATAAGTAATGAAATATTTTTTCGGTCAATTATTTTTGCAACTAGTCAAAGTACTTATAGGAGATGCATTTACTAAGTTGTTATTAATTACAACAGTCGAAAATAAACGTGTACGTTTTCCGATTATATCGTAGACACATATATAGACGAAAACGTTGAGCCCCCCCCCCCCGCTGTTTGTAAGCATCAACGCCAACATTTGACCATTCTAGAATCACAAATAAACCAGTCATTCCATTTCTACTTCAGTAATCAATTACTCAATATACTCGAATGTTCATCAAGTAACACAGTATTATTAGAAATTCAAACAGAAAATATAGTTAAAATCAATTTCATTTAAAAGAATATTTCTAGGATTCTTTGAAAAGAAATCACAGTAAAAAGAGTTTGGGCCAGGACTAGGGATAAATACAAAAAAGGTGATATTAAACAATTACAATTTATAAAGTATTTGAAATACCAAACCAATAGGTGATGAGGTATTATGAGGTTCCTCAGAAATATTTTCCTATTGGTCTATTTTGTAACAAGAATATTTATTAGTTTTTAATCATTTTTAAATTATACTGAACTTTGAAGAGTTTTTCACTTTGTATTTAACGTATTTTTAAACCAATGACACGGGATTAATATTATTGTAATATTTTATTTGAAAGTGATTTTGAATACTTAGGCGTTGAAAACATTTCGAAAACATCATTAAAATTGCCTATACGAAACCCCTAAGAACAATGGACATTCAATGATTAGCATTTTTTTTAATGGTGCTGCAACTGTGATTGTTTACATTCGCAGTATAAAAGAAATAAAAAGTTTTGTATGTTGCCCACGTCATAATTATGTATTAAAATAACAATTATACATTTTATACGAATATGTTATAGAGGTTATTAATATTCTTATTCGATCAAATCATAACATCAAGGCTTCTGCAATCCCCATCAATTTTTCATCAAAACAACCTATTCAGCTCACAAAAATTAGGGTACTTCTAGTAGTTCGATTTAAAAAATGTAAAGGTGTTTAGGTTGGTAAAGAAATTTACTTTACATAGGTCAAAACATAATTTATTTAATATTTATTATTATAAATTGACAAATGTACAAAATGTCTGATGTTTAATCTCGTTAAGAATTTGTAAAAACTGAAAAAGTGATTGAACCAATGCAAAGTAAACTTGTTTATGTAATCCCAAAATCTTTATATGTTTGAAATCGAATAACTGGAAGTACTTACATTTTTGTTAAGTGTATATACACAAACATAATATTATTATAATTATCGTGTCAATAAGTTGAACAATTGTTTCTTATGTACAGAACTTTTTACACTGATCTCAACAATTGATGACTGGTGATATGTTTATAATAATAAGTGTTTTTCACATGCACACCTACATGAGTGAATAATTAAAAAACAAATTGTGACGTATATTCAATATAAAAATACTATAATTACTATTCATAACCGTACACACAATGACGTAAAAACAGGATAGAAGTGATACAAAAATAATAATAATAATTAATCTTAAAACACAATATATATATAGTTAAACCATTAAAATAAAATAAAACTCCTAGGTTAAAATAATATATATAATACTATAAATTATTATTATGAGTACAAAAAATTATTTTTTATTATATTAATCAGGTCTTAGGTTCTGCAAAAATTAAGCTTCCATGAGTAGGGTTTTAATTGTTTTCGATGTGGATGAGTCATTTAGATGAACCGTAGTATACCTAGAAAAAAGAAAAGACAATGAAAAATAAAATAAAACTATAAAAAATTTGCACGTGCAATTTAGCTGATATTAATAGATAGTATTTTATGATAACAAATTAAAATAACCTCAATGCATTCAGCAGGTTTTCAGTATGAATCTCTTCGGGCTGCTCTTTGAGCAACCGTATGCAACCTTTGATGTCAATATTTGAAGTCTTAACAAATACTCCATTCGGGTACACATGATCGCACAAGATAATCAGGCCAACCAGTACGCGTAACATAAATAGGTGAGTTTCTCGTTTTTTGAACTGAACAGCCCTTTAGTATATAAATGAAAATAACATGTTACAAAAATATTATAAATGAACCCTATGGTAATGATGACAGTATCGAACTTACGGAGTTTCCAACATGCGTATGCACACTTTTACCATGGTACTTAACATTTCGATGGCATAGTCTACGAGCCTTTTGTCCTGAAAAATAAAAATACCCAACAAATATAACTGGTGTCATACATCGTTTAGTTGTGATATACAGGGTGCCCTACAGCATAATTCGAATGTTAATAACTCGTGTAAAATATTTTTTTTTTCAAATTGATTTCGTATACATTTCAATAAATTTCAATTGAAAAAAAAAAAATTGAAAAATAATAAACAGAGTTATTAGTAATTAGATAACACTATAAGATACTGTATAGCTGTAAAGTTTATAATAAACACAGAACCATGCTCATTTTATTGGCGTAACAAAATAATACAATAAGTGACTAAACTTGATATCTATCTAAAACTTGGCTTCCAATAAATGTATGACGTCTCCGGTACCCTAGGGCATGGTTTCCTTTTTTTATCCCCTTTTAGTACAGTCCTGAATAAACAATAACAATGGAAATTAAATTTCGATAGAATGCCAGTAAAAAATATTTACGGTGATTAAAAAATACACCAAAAGGAGTAACTGGGTCAATAATAACTAAATTATTATCTCTTAGGGCAGGTTCATTACAGCGTCTAATAGTGGCAAAACTAGGAATTTTTACATCCGGGGGATAAAAATACTATACGCTCTATGTGGTGTTCACTTTAAACTCTATTTATAAAATGTAAAAATATTTCTTTCCTGGTCCTAAGATATTGAAAAATTAAATCAAAGAAGTATCTATCAGTATACAACGTAAATACGCGAAAACGTCATTGCAGAAAATTTTACTCCCGTGGATTAATCCCCCACCTTCTCCCTCCTCTCTTAATTCCAGCCTTGGTATCTACCTATGGCTTCTGAAGAAAAGTTTTACTGTTTTAAATCGATTTGATATTTAAATAAATTTAATTTAACCGTAACCGTAACCTAACTACTACTACTATTATGGATTTAAAAAATTACTGTGTTCAAAAATTGCGAAGTGACGTTTGTGAGCGTCCTAAGCATCGGTGTCGATTCTGCGTAGAACAAGGACACTTTGTTGGCGATGTTCAGATTACTAGTGGAATCATCGTCTAGATCAGTGGAATACGAAGACGGACCTTCGCGCATTAACACCCGTCGGTAATAACTAAAATCGTTCTGGATTGCCGGAGTTTGCATCTAATAATTGTTATTGAAAGAAGAAAAATAAAATCAATAAATTATTGTAATGTTGTTACCTATTATTAAATATTTTTACGTAGGCATAATACGTACCTTATACTCATCGAACTTGAACACAAAATCAATGATCTCGGAGAACTGTTTGACTATAGCTTGCTGACGTTCCAGTTGATGGGAAGGAGTTATATCATCCGAACAAATACTGTTTAGAATCTGAGGTACGACAAACGCTGTCAAATAACACAAAAAATATAGACATTTTTCCATCGGATACAGATATGTATTTATTTTTTTTTTTTATGAATGTTAAATGAAGATTTGGTTAATAGTTGCTGTTCAAAAATAAAATTCCATATTATTTTTATACTCAAATTAAATGTGAAATTTTATATGTATAAATATTTAAGAAATCGATTGTAACTTGTAAATTTCCTAAGTTTATTCCTATAAGTGGAACAACAAATATACATAATTTTTGTTTTGCTTTTTTAGGCTGATTTTGGATTTGATCTTCTTTATTTATAATGAATTTAATAGTTTCAATCAATTTTAGTGTACTTTTATTTAATGGATTATAATTAGAGATGCAATGTTTTGTTTTATTTATACATTACATTTGTCTAAAGTTTTGAATCCATATAAAACTGTATATAGTTACCTATTTTTTGCGAGAAAAAATAAAACCGCCTTAGTTTGCGAATCCTGGGAATGAGCTCTTCCCAAGTCGATGCATTTTGTTCCGCGCTCGGGTTAATGATCGCCGCTCGTATGTGCTGGTCAGCACCCGAATAATTTTTGAGATCGGATAGCACGTCGGAGGCCTCGGTGAGTACAATTTGAACATCGTCGAACAATTCCAATTCGCTTGCAGTAGGTTGGACGTCTGAAATTAAAAATTGAATGAGCCGTTCGTATGGTCTAATTATTATAAATGTCATCGGGTCAGAGTTGATCGCGTAATTGGCGCGATAATAAAAATAATAATAACAATTTTGAAAAAAAAAAAAAAAACCGTATATTATGAGAGTGTCATTGTAATACGTTAATAAAATACACAATAAAGGCGTATACCGACGGCGTCATAATAATAATTATTAGCAATCAATTATTGTTATTATTACTACTCAAATACTCGGTATAGTAAGTATTTTATAATTGAAAAACATATACCTTAAAAAACGACTGTACTAATAAACAAAATAATTTTTCAAATGAGTCATATTTAGATATTGTATAGGTAATGGCAGTCTGACCGTTCGTCTATGTAATACGTCATTTATAATAGTTGAGGTGAAATCATTTTGTACCGCCGAAACACATCTTAAGGTTGACGCATAATAACAAATTATAATTTTTTTTACGCCCTAAGCGAAACGGAGAAAAAATATCGAACGACAATAGTTTTCATAATACCTTTTTTGACTGGGTTGTTTTATTTTTTTTTTTTTTTTACATATATACTCACTTACGTGGACGCCCATGGGAGAGAGCAAGAAGGGAACTTGCCCCCCCCCCGGAAAAACAATTAGAACTAATAATTTTAATAAATTGAAACATACAAGTATAATATGAATAATTTAAAATATAATTTGTATAGATCAACTCAATACGATTCTGGTTTTTGCGCAGTTGGGGAATGATCTTAATCCAGATATAGGTACCTAACGGCTAAAATATTGAAACTCGCTGTGGATTTATTTAAATATAAAAGAACGGGTATTATAATAGTATATAATATGATATACTCACTTTCAAAATCCAAGAATACATCGTATTTATGTTGAGCGGAACAGCAACTATCCTCTCGAAGTAACAAACTCAATAACTTTCCCATTGTAGCACAAAAAAAACACCAAGCTGACCAACAGTTCTAGTATTAGCCAAAATTAGCCAAATTCTCTACAAAAAAAAAAATAATAATAATAATAAAATATTTTTTTTTTTTTGTTATAATACTTCTTTACTAAGAAGTAAAAAGGTTTGATTAGCTTAGGTTAGGTTTAAACACTACAAATAAAAAAAACTTTTATTCCGGAAATATGCGAATATATTGTACAGTTTAAAAAAAATTATTCACGGACACATATCATCAAAGAATAAATTATATTTAAATGAGACAATATATTATTATTGTGTTGTTTGTATTATTACTCTTACATTAGTACATTTTGCATTCGTACTAGAAATCGTTATACGTTTTTTTTTATGTACATCTCATTGACAAAAATATTATATAATATACAATATTTTACACATATTATGTATTATTTATATATAAACTGTACCGTTCAGTGGCGTGCGCAGAAATTTTCAGTGGAAAGAAATGTAACAAATAAGAATCGTCTTCTCCACTCAACTCGACAATGCGAATTGGTAAATTAAAATTCGGATCCTGAAAAAAAGCCAATTTCTAATCAATACATGAAGCTTTTCCTCGTAAATTGGCTGAAATATATTCATTTCGATATTAAATTACTTATAATTTTTTATATTTTTAAGCCAATGGGGAGGGAGGATATAACACCACCGTCCCCTTTTGCGTACGCCACTAGTACCGTTATACTGCAGCAATAACGGTCGAATAAACGGTGTATAATTTTGTATTGTAATTAAAATTATTTATTTTGTTAATATTATAGAATTTTTCACGTAAAACTTAGACGTGTGATCGTGTCCTCGATTACATTTTTTTTAATGATACGCTATAGTGGCTAAAATATAACAAGTGTTTGAATTCGGGAGAAAGCATAGGGATGGAATACCTTAATTTATTTTTCAGAAATTTTAGCGTACCTCTAGGATTTTTTTGAAGTGGAATATATGTGACAATACATATTCTGCATTTATATTAAATACATTTTTATTAAAATTTGAACTTAAGGTGCTCATATAAAAAATAAATATATTATACACTGACATTTTTTTCTCCACTAATTGCAACTCGTTACCTATAAATTTCGTGTTAATATGTCGAGCATTTTTGCTAGTCCAAAAAAATTTTAATCGTATAAAAACAAATTAAAAATCTCTATGGGTCAGACTGAGTTCAATAATCGCAAGGAACACAATAATTTTTATTTAGTCTCATAGTCCCTTTGATTTATGAATACTGACAGTAGTGACACGAACAATCAGAAAAACCAATTTTTCACGATTATTCTCGTTTTTACGAATACATATGGAAATTTAGTGATAAAGGTTTGGTTAGTTTACAGTTTTTTTTTTTTTTTTTTTAACAAACCTAACCAGTGTCAGCTGAAGTTCGCAAATCGAAACCAATCGTTGAACCAGTGTAAACATACAAAAACGATAATTTCCGGGATATTGGAATGACTACTAACTACTACTACTACTACTATACATATATAGTCTTCGTGATACCAAATTATGGAGATTACCAAAAAATAAAAAAAGCCATTGTAAACAAAAACCACTATGATGCATAAGTGGAGGTTGTTTAGAAAACTGGTTTGATTGATTAGAGTTGGTGTTTATTCCAACTGAGGAAACCCAAAAATAAAATTAAAAAATCCGAAATTCAAGTATAGACATTTTAAAATCCTAGCTTCAATAAGTTTTTTATAAAGTATTTTTATCCCACGCGCTATATGACTATTTGTTTTAAACCTGTGTTAGTGTTTTGTAGGTTTTTTTTTTAAAAAAAAACTTTTGAGTCTGAAAAAAATATTTCAATCATACAGTACCACCGGGCAGAAAATTAGTGTGAACATTGTGGAGGAGAAAAATAGACGTTAAATACACACATACAGATGTCCACTAACTAATGCCTTTTGACTAAACGCGAATCCGAATGGAAAACAAAAAATGTGTCCGAGACAAACCGAAGTGTATTCATATTGTTCCCTAAATTAAAAAACAAACGGACACGCACTTCATTCAATGGGTAGGCTACGGTTGTAGATGAGAAGTTGAGAAGACATAAAGGAAATTTAAAGTACATCTGTGCAAAAGATGCACTATTATTTACACGATTGCTAATAAAATTCGATTTTGAACAGAGTTCGGTTATACACGTTTTGAAAAGCCGTAATATGACTTTCCCAAAGTACTATTTCAGTCCAATTTTCTTTTAGAAAAAAATGCTATACTTGAAAATCGAAGCAAAATTTCTGGTAGAAAAGTTGTTCACAGAAAAAAATTACTTTTTATCCTGGATCTTCCCAACTTTTCACCTATAACAGTGGGTCGCCCATCGTGCGAATTTTGTCTTTTTTTATAATTAATTGCTGGATATACGTCGCATTATGAATAGGTCACATGCTTTAAATGACAAGTTTGGAAGATATAGGATAAAGGGTAATTGATTTTGCATACAGAAAGTAACGATAAATCATTGCAATCAATAAACTATTTTAAGTGGAGTTCCGTAAATTAATATGGTTGAAGACATTAACGCGTAGTCAAGGAAATTTATAAAAATGTACATAGTCGATTGCTGTTAATTTTTTTAAAAACGTTTAGAAATATTTTAGAATCTAAACATTTTGTTTACCTAAATTACCACCCGGCGAAACATATTTTACGGTACAATATGAAGAATTTGGAGAATTTTTAGTGAATTTTTACGAACTGAAACAGTTTTCTTTGAGAACAAAATGACTAAAAGTATGAATTCTTAAAGGTAAGATTGTAACTGAACAAAAGAATGCGAACTAATATAATACATCCGTCACTAATGGTGAAATATCTATAATAGGTATTCAACGTGTGACGTGCTCGACACATTGTCAATAATATTCAGTCTATTATTAATAATCGTGGTTCTTAATAAAAAAAAAAAAAGAAAAAAAGAAAGCATAATAATTTGTACCTATATGTATAGATTAGAAAAAAAAAAACAATTGTCAATAATTAACGCTAATTATTATTGGTGTTTAACAGGGAATAAAATCATTATTCATTATGTGTTATTGTGAATGGGATAATAACTGAATCCAATGTGAATGATAATAATTTTATAATGCCTTTAAACAAAATATAATAATATATTATATTGCATAATAGTAGAATTATAACATTGTCCATGAAAATATATAATAATACATTATTTTTCTGCAGCAATAATAATAATTACTTAGAAAAAGATATTGTTATCGCAATATTAAAAAAAAAAAAAATAGTAATAATAAATATAATAATCTATAACAATTTATCTAAATCATTATTAAAATCAAATTTAAAAACACGAATAAACCTATACGTTAACCTCTAGAAGCAAAACCTCGTAAGCCGATTTTATAAAATTTTGTCTATCCATATAACTTTAGAAATATTATATTTAATGTTTTGGTTTTTTTTTTTTTTGTTCAGAGTTAATAAAGCCATATACAAGTAGTAAAACCTAACCTAACCTAACCTCGTAATTCGGGTTAAGTAATTAAGTTTAACTATAATTTTATATATTATCACATAAAAAACCGTCAACATTTTATTACGATGAAATCAAAATATCCAAAAAAGTACAATATGTCTATCAAAAAAAAAAAAAAAAAATCAAGTCTTTCAATTTACGAAGTTTTGCCACAAAACCATTGCGGTGCATTGTTTACCCATTAGACGTAATACAAATAGTAAAATAAATTCACCAATAATAAAATATGCCTAACATTTTATTTGAATTGACTAAGGTTTTGAAGGTGGACTGTGGATTTACTATGATTCTGCAGTGGCGTTTACATAACATTTAAATTTTCCAGTAATAGATCTAATTATTCATATTATTAGGTATTTTAATATCGGACAAAACGTATATCGCAGTCTCTTGATCTAGACACATTCTTTAATATTAAACATGAGTAATTTCGAGAATTTTAATTGTTTTTAATTGCTACAAACACGATTGACGAAACCTGTACGCGAAAAAAAATACTTCACATAACGGTAGGTATTATTTAATGCTAGTATGATTCGTAACTTATTCTAAACTTTTCGCTTAAAATATAAAATTAACTACTGTTAGTTAAAATGGGAAAAAAATAAAAATATTCGTTTAGGGTTGTACAAGTTAAAAACAACTTTTTGAAGGGTACTACGATTTTGTGTTACATCTTTATATGATACAATCATTGTTTATAGCAACAAGTGAAAAAACTGTAATTTTTATAATATTAAACTTAAAGTTAAAAGAATTATATCACAATATGGTGGTAAAAGCGAATAATTGCGTGTTCCAGAATATATTAGAAGTGAAAAAGCGGTCCTAGAATAATGGGAAATGGGGACGGGTGCAGCCACTGTTATAGATAATTTAATGAATTTATTAAATATACTTATTTAATAAGTAGTGATGAACACTACCGAGTGAAATTCATCGAGCTACTCGATAGTTTCAAACTATCCATTTACTCGGTTGTTTTTAAACTATCGAATCAAAAACAATCGGTTCCGCCCATCACTATCTGTAAATAACGACCAACCGTTGCTTACGAAAAACCGATTCTGAGCGGAATTCGGTTGATAGTGTTGCTTTGTCAACATTATCAACTATGCCATATTATGGTAAAATAATTACATAATATGCATTATATATTTTCTTTAATAATATTTGTTTGTTTAATATTGTACCTATTTTCCCGTTTTCCTACGTTTTTCCCATTTATCGGGAAAACTTCTGGGAAAATCAAAAAATAGTCTCCTGAAAGTACCTCATCAGTTAAATTTCCTTTTAGAAAAAAAATCATTGTAAAACCAATATGTTCCTCGCTCCGTTCAAAATCTAAAATTATAACAAATAATTGTTAGAACTCGGTTGACGACATTTAATGCACATTATACAAATAAAAAAGTAAATTATATATCGTAACGATAAATAAT